TAATCCAAATATACTGCTTGAAAGAGCACATTACTAAGATAAGGTAATATAAGATAAGGTAAGCTTTATTCCAAATCAGTACTTGTGATACAGAATGGAATTCTCAGCATTTTACTACAATATTGCATCCAGTTAGTACATTAATAATAAATATAGTTCTACATAGATTAAGGTTATCTCAGTCAGTTTTGACAACAACATATTAGCCAGTCGGTAGCAAGGCCAGAATTTAAACAGAGTGTTTGAAGGTGTTAGAAAAGTAGATACTACTAGCATATGTACTGGCGTAAGCAATAGCAAAATGGTCGAGGTATACAGAGTGTGAAAGAACGAACAAGAATGTTTTAAGTAGAGTTTGTAAGGAAGAGAGAAACAAAACAGCACATAACAAAAATAAATAGAGAAGGGAAAAAAAGGTAGAGAGAAAACCTTGTACCTGTAAATGATGTGAGTTGGAAAGACGAGATCCCCTTGTTCTACTGACTATTTCGCTTTCTTTATCGCACAGAACAAGAGCTAGGTAGGGTATGGTTGAGTTTTTGTACTTACTGGTGCGAGCATGTAGTTCTCCATATAGGCTTTTCCTTGTGCTTGATGAGATACAAGGGAAGAGTTGTGAATGAAGAGGGTGTTTTGAGCGAGATAAAATGGATTCAGCCCATTTTTCACATGAGTCCATGTGCCTGTCAACCAGAATATTAACATTGCTTACCCTGCCGACAACCTTTAACATCCTGCGTAATAAGGTATAGTCTTTCTTCAATAGCCCAGGAAAGACTAAGGGGGGACAATAGAGAATAATAGGCAGAATACGGAAGTTAACAAATTGTAGGAGTAAGGGTTGGGTTACACCAGAATGTCTTAACTTCTTGATGTAGAGGGTAAGACGGTATATTTTCTTGGAAATCGTCAAGATATGAGACGACCAGGAAAGATCAGAAGATAGAGTGACGCCTAGGTATTTAATTTCCGACTTAGTTTCTATTTCAGTGCCATCTATGTTGCACACCTCGTGAGTGCTAACCAGTTTGTTTAGGTCAGATTTATGCCTAAAGGTGAAATTAACTGTTTGGCATTTGGAGGGGTTTAAGGTTAGACCGTTTTCCTTGGACCATTGGCTAATTTCTGATAAGAAGCCATTTAGTTTAGAGCAGTCATTTTGACATTTGACAGGTAAAGATACAGTTAGGTCATCAGCATATTTGACAAAGTTAATATCATTTGAAGACGGTAGGTCATGAAGGAAGAATGAAAAGAGAAGTGGGGAGAGTACAGCACCTTGGGGGACACCAGCTTCAGTGAGCACGGCAGAGGAGGATTGACCTTTGTATACGGTGTACTGCATTCTGTTTGAAAAGTAGGAATGCAACCACTTAGTGACCCAAGACTCGGTTTGTGTCGTGGAGAGCTTATTTAGCAAGAGACTTCTAGGTACAGAGTCGAAAGCAGAAGTAAAGTCAAGAAACGTGCAGCGGACATATTTGGCACCTTTGTCTAATGATGAGACAATACTGTTGTGTAAGACGGCTGCAGCGTCTAAAGTACTCCTACCCTGTCTGTAGGCAAATTGTTTGGGGTCTTCGAAGCTTTTAAGGGAGGGTTCGAGTTTAAGAAGTACTAGTTTTTCCATGAGCTTTAGAAACGGGGAAGTGATGGCGATGGGTCTGAACTTTACGTTCTTGCTATTTCCTGGTTTAGGGACAGGGACTATTTTAATGTCTTTCCATGGAACAGGTACAACGTTTTCGGAGAAAGAAGCATTTAGGATATTAGTTAGAGGAGAACATAAAGCATCTGCACATTGTTTTAGGACATATGCAGGTATGCCATCAGGGCCAAGACTATGTGAGGGCTTAAGAGTTTTAAGACATTTCAAAACATCGAGAGTATTGAAGTCCTGGAAGTTATCAGCTACAAGATTGGTAACATTAGAAGTGGTTATAGTAGAAGGAGAGCGTATAAAAGACAGATTAAGAGCATTAACATCACAAGAGGGAAAAACATTACATCGCTTACTATTGCCAGTAATTTCATTGAAAAGTTTCCACATGCTGTTTGGAGATTTGCATGATAAAAGTGTTTGGTTATAGATAGTATTAAGATACGAGAGTAAACGATTCTGTTAGAATTCATGTTTAGGTGATAAATAAATGTTGGTAAACAGAGGACTGGATGCAAAATGTAGATATTATAGTAGCAGGCGCAAAAATTCAAACAGGCCGCCAAGGTCAATTACTACTTATCATGGTCCTTTCAGTTTACGCCTCGTCATCAGTACTTACAAGATAAGTGATTAGCCGAACATCAGGCAAACTTTATATGGTAGAGTTGGCATAGTTAGGCCTATCTACAACATTACCAGCACTCTGCAGGCCTGTAGGAGATTTAGTTAGCCATCATCTTCATGGATATGCAGTAACCAGTTGGACTTCCTCATCCAAGAGGCCGTAGTACATCTTATTTCTTAGAAGTCGACGAAAAATTCAGCCCAAAGACAAAAGCTAGAATCTGAAACTGATGCCAGGAATAGCGATTCCGGACTGAAACATGGGGCTGAGATATAAATTTATCTCGAAGCGCTAAACAAAAAAGCATCACAGCATGCTCAAAACCTGCAGTGATACGCAAAAGGTTGTAGAAAGCTAACAGGGCGAGTATTCTAGCATTGTAGGATCACCTGGTGAAACTACCACGACAAAGCGCAGCGTGTGTGGTGAACGAATGGCTTCTAGCTGCGGCGAGAGCAAAGTGGAATTAACTAACCCCACTTGGTTGGTTCCAAAAAGCAAGAAGCTGATAAACTGTGAGAAAGAGAAAACGTCTGAGTTCAATAACAACGTCTCGACAGCCGTAACTACTGACACAATTCCGAAACATTCGGACTCAGATTACAGTGTTATTGTATGGAACTAAAGGAATAGAAGAAAGTAGATCCAGCTTCCCGACATTCTGATGATCCCATGGCAGCTAAATCGATTATTCATGAAATACCTCCCGAGGAAGCATGTAAAGTCCACATAGGAGATGCTGTCAGAGTCGGCAGAAGAAATGCCGATACCATGGAAAGTCCCGTGGCTGCTGACGATATTGCTTAGGAACATCATGGAAAAAACATTATTCTCACGAACACACTTAAGAACAGAGATAAAAAGCCACGGGTTAGGCCTGATTTGCTGTTGGAAGACAGAATTGATAGGAGAGAAGTCGTAGCGTAATTAAAGGCACAAAAAGAAGAGGGGGAGGAAGATCTCACACTATTGCGTTTTCAGGTTGTAAAGTCTCAGAAAAATTAGTTAATCAGACCTCTCTTCATGAGTTGAAGGAACGCGTAGGTGTGCTATAAGAACGCATGTGATATTAGCAATAGGCTCCCTGAATAAGGAGTATTATCCGAAAGACTACAGCATGATGTTACTGCGGTCACTGGAACATTGCTGTTAGTGGGTGTAGACTTCACTCTTGCCTGGGTGCAGACAGAGTAGTCGGAAAGATGGTGAGGCTGCCATGTGCATCCGGAGCGACGTAGGAATTTGGTCAACATTGACGGTAGCTCATGATAGTGGCACCAGTAAAGCCACGAGGCGCGTCAGTAAATTGAACAAGGGCACTGCGAAGATTGGGGCTATTTGAAGAAGTCTTGCCAGCCAAGCTTATTATTTTGAATTATGTCGCTTTGAGGGGTGTAGTAGTTGAAGTAAGTGTCTAATGGAAGCTGACTTTAATGCCTCACATAATAATTGAGAGGAGGTAATATCCACTGGCTCGTATACCTGTTTCACCAGGGAACTTACGCTGACAGTGCTTGAAAAAGCGCGTATGTAGCATATATGTACACAAACGCGATAACAACCTGGGCGCAATCTGTCTAATCTAGACTTGGTTCTAGCACACTAGAAGAGGAATGTCGGTGACATTTGGTGCCTTCTGCAAATAGGCAGAAGGGATCATGTGGTTGTCAGTTTACGTGTAAGATTAATGTTCTCACACAAGTCAACATCCGCTCATCCGAACATTTGGAAATATACCTGCGATCCGAACGCGGCAACCCCGGCTGACTGGTCGGTTGTTGCAGTCGGACTGTTTGGGAAGCTTAATTAGGGAATAAGATTAATTTAATTAAATTGACCAATTAAATTAATTAATTAAGGATTAAGAAATACACTAGATTGCATTACTGCGTCTTTTACGCCTTGGTCTACTCCTCGAAAACTGTCACATAAAACACCTTGAATTAGTGATGAAATAAGGAAGTAACGATAATAGGTTCTCATGTTTTATACATATATTATTATTACCTCCTTATTTCACCACTAATCCAGGGTGGTTTATGCGACAGTTTTCGAGGCGAAGACCAAGGCGTAAAAGGCGTAGTGATGCATATATGGGTCAGAAACATGTCCAGCGTGTCACGAGAAGGATTTCCAACAGGCCAGTGCAGACTTTCATCAGAGACTGCCTTCACACTAGGCCGAAGATCAAATAGCCAGAAGGAATAAACAACAAGAAATTATGGGAACAAACCAACCAAGAGTTGATCGCTCAACAAATACGTAGGAGAAGGTGAAGATGGATCGGACAAACATTGAGGAGGCCGCCGAATAACATCATACGCCAGGCCCTCTAGTGGAGACCCGTTGGTAAGCGACGAGTGGGTCGTCAGTGCGAGGGTGACATGGAGGGGATCATGTGAGGAAGAGGTGAGAGAATTCGGTCACTCGTGGACCTAGTTTAATAGGACGGCAGAAAATAGAAGAAAGTGGAGATGTGCTGATTAAGCCCTATGTTCCACTCGGAACGCTAGGGAACAATAATATTATGTAAGAGCTGCAACAACTGGGTGGTGAGATGTACTACGCATAAGATTGGCAGAGAACAGAAACCTTTACCTTACATCTAAGAAGAGTACATACTAGCTCTTAAAAGCGATATTCAATAGTGAAGGATCCAGCCTGTGGATATCCACATTCATTGTATATTTAATGACTAGTAACCTTTTAAAACTGATGATGTATATTCGCCTCGGACTGGTACATTTCTGACATTTTGGCTTATTTCAGGAGCTAAGGCAAACCAGAAATGAAATTAGTACGAAATCACATTACACGTCTTATCGCACCATCTGAAGCATTTGTCCTACTTCCAGAGAGGCTCTGTGACGTTCAAGTTCGTCGTGACACCTATGGAATTAGAGCAGAAGACTGTCTTTCTCAGCTAATTCTAAGCCAGCTAAATAAGTCCAAGTCTAATCTTGGCACAAAGCTTATTCCACTTAATTGGTTCAACCTACTTCTAGAACCTCAAAAGATGGCATCGGTTGTTGCAGCTATTTTACCCATTGTTAGTGAATCGAATTTTAACGAAGAAAAGCTGATGAAAAGATGCGTAGTTGAAGTTTTCCCTAATATATATCGGTGGAATTTCAAACAGCTGCCAAACCTTCAAGTGGTTATAGTCGTTCCTTGGCCGGACCCATTATTTGACTTATTTGACAAAAATACCGTCAACTGTAGGACCTCTTACCAGGGCAAATCAGAAGATCTCATAACACTTGGAAAACTGTCTACATTTGGCAAGAGTTATTTCATCAATTTAAAGCACGTGCTAAATTTTGGGACCAAGGTATACCTGATATGGTTTTCTGATTTTTTCGACATGTTTGCATTCTTGTTCACTTATACTCTGGTCATTTTGCACAGTGATAAATTCCGTATAGTCTGACACATTTAAAATATGAAAAGCAGTGGGTCTTTCAGTTCAGAAATTCTTTCATCAGTTTGTAACACCTCTGTAGCTGATGAAATGTTTTTTGCATTTATTCCCCCTTGTGAATTTGATTAAGGCACGAATTGTAGTTTGTGCAGAATAAGATGTTGCCATTAGTTATTTCGTTGGCTTCTCGTCATCAGCTTTATTCAATGAAAATTTTTTAACATACTTACAAAGTTTACGTGATGTTAATTGGCAAAAGGTTCCAAACTTAATAAAAATGCTCACAGAATTACAGTTATATAGTCTATATATAAAACTTGAAATTGCAGTGTAAAAGATATATAAGTGTAATTTTTTGAGCATTATTTATCAAGTTTGGAACATTCTGTTGATTAGCATCATGTAAAATTTGTAAGTATGCCAAAAGTTTTCTGTAATCAGCTGATGAGAAGCCAACGAAACCTGTTTGCCACACTTGAGACTTCTGAGACCAGGGAATTATATAACACTGCTAGAAATAAAGCTATTGCAGAAATCCGCCAATCAAGGATGAATTTCGAGACACACCTGGCTCAAAATACAAAGGCACAACCTAAGAAAAGTTTCTCTTACTTGAATTTCAGGAATAAAACATCCAGTGATGTCCCAAACCTGATTATTGACAAAGATACAATCGAAGAAGATCAAGAAAAAGCAGAAGGAATGGCAAACTACCTCTCCCAAGTCCTCACTCAGGAGTCATCACTGCCTGTAGGATCAGCTCTGGCTGCATCAGAAGAACATGGGATAGATTCCGTTGACATCGACCAAGGCATCGTGCTCAACTTCTTAATGAAACTAGATGCAGGGAAATCAATGGGTCCTGATAATTTTCATCCAAGGCTTCTCAAGGAACTGTCAGCCCACATAGCCGGCCCCTTGACCACAATCTTCAAGCTATCTCTCCTGAATGGAGTGTTGCCACGTGATTGGAAAGACGCCATAGTAACCCCCATCCACAAAGTAGGATCAAGACAAAGCCCTTCAAATTACAGGCCTATCAGTCTCACCAGCACTTTAATCAAGACACTGGAAAGAATTATCAAGAAAAGCATCATGGCTTATCCGGAAAGTAGCAGCTTGTTATCTGGAGCACAGCATGGCTTCCGGAGGAACCTCTCATGCCTGTCAAATCTCCTGACTGCAAGAGAAAGCTGGGTCAAATCAAAGGACAACAGAAGACCCGTTGACGTCGTCTTCATAGACTTCAGTAAAGCCTTTGATAAAGTACCTCACGAAAGACTACTCATGAAATTGGAAAGTCTTGGTATCAAAGGCAGACTACTAGACTGGCTCAGGGAATTCCTCATAGATAGGAGGCAGAGGGTTAGGATCAACTCAAAACTCTCCTCCTGGACAGCAGTAAGTAGCGGAGTGCCACAAGACACGGTTCTCGGTCCTCTCCTTTTTATTCTGTATATCAATGAGTTACCTCTGCTCATCGACTCCCCTATGGTCCTATACGTAGATGACTTAAAAATTTGGAGAGAGCTGAAGAGCAACAGTGATACGTTTACGTTGCAAGAGGACCTCAACAAATTGTCAGAGTGGTCTGTTGAATGGATGCTCCCGATCAATGTGGCAAAATGTGCAACCATGCGCATTGGACAAGCAAGCAAAAGCTCCTACGAATTAGAGGGAATAACACTTCCATCAGTTCAGACTCACTTGGACTTAGGTGTCATAGTTAGCCACGACTTAAAAACTACAGCACACTGTCGCACGGTGGCTGCACGTAGTTTCAGGTCCTTATGGGCGATTCGGGGAGCCTTTAAAAGAATTACCAGAGATATGTTCACCTCCTTATACACATCTCTGGTTAGGTCAAGACTGGAAAACTGCATCCAGGCCGCCAGTCCTTGTCTAAAAGGGGATTCACACATTCTAGAAATTATTCAGAGGAAGGCAACACGTATGGTTCACGGCACAGCTAACTTATCATACGAGGAAAGACTAGACAGTTTAAATTTCTTCTCACTGTCATACCGTAGGCAGAGAGGAGATTTAATCACAATGTTTAAAATTTTAAACAATGACTACGGATCTGACCTATTCCCTCTTTTCCTTCCCACCAGGTGGGAATACCTTAGAGGAAATAGCAAGAGAGTTCAAAAGCCAAGAAGAAATCATATTGCTGTTGAGTACTGTTTCTCAAATAGAGTCATAAACTCTTGGAACCGACTCCCAGAAGAAGTGGTGTCTGCAACCTCAACTGATTCGTTCAAGAAGGGTTTGGACAACCACAGAAATCTACTAGAAAAGGATTAACATAGGCTCCGATCCTTCTATCCTCAACCAATAAACCTGAAATCTAATTAGGCACCCTATATTCTACTATAGATGTTCATGTTTTAAGTCTAGATTTAGAAAGAGAAAAAGTATGTAGAAGTCTAGTTATATTCAACGTCACTGATTTAGTAATCTTTGACAGAGACTGCCAAACTCTTAAATGAGTTTCATGCTAAACTCAGACGACGTGTGAAGCAAGACATCTGACAAGTTATGTGGCAAGCCGCAAGAATCTGAATCTTATTCTGTACAAACTATTGTTATTGCTTGATTCGAAATATTTATTGACATAAGTTAGGTGACATATTATCCACTGAAATAATTCTAAATGTTTAATAGAGTATGCAGTGTCACTCATATAAAGATGGATGAAATCATTTGTTAACTGCACACGGTATCAAAAAGATGCCTACTGTGATTTATATGAATGGCACGTGTTAGTGGATTATTGAAAATGAAGTTTACTTCGGACGGACGGAATGTTTTCAGAATGTTTTGTTGGAAAAAATGACTATTCTTTATTTTTCGTTTTGTTGGTCAGTTTGCTGAAAGCAGGCCACTGAAGCCTAGTACATTAGGATGGCACAAGTATTCATTAAAGTCGTGTGGATAATTTACCTATGTTTTGAATTACTTCCTGACAAAAATCTCTGAATTCCTTGAATGGTCCGAGCATTTGTGACTAATTTCGAACAGAATGCATCAAATTAATAGATGCAAGTAGTTGAATTCCATTGCCATTCGTCTAGCATCCTTTATATCTTAACCTTGTTCACTACAAACCAGTGTTTGATACGTTTATAGTTATCTCTAGGGACACTTTTTTGTTGATATCTCAGTATTTCTGGCCGACTCATAGAATGCTTTATGAGAAACAGGAATGCTCCAAACAGTAATTCAGAAGTTTCGCATTCGTTCTACCCCATAAGGCCGCAAATCAGGATATTGTTACACCATATTAGAGAGAGATAAATTATGCTTGACATCTATAAATCCAATTATTTTTTAAATGATCATAGTGAATGGAGTGTGAGCTCAATCTTATTATGAGATTGCAAACTAAAATGAAAATATCTCAAAGGTATATTCCATCTTGATAGTTTTATTGAACTGAGAATGTTCATTTAGACATTTTAACTACAAAACATCTATTGCTTAATGATGGCTTTACATGAATTCGTAGCACCTTAAAAGTTTATGCAGTATATCAATGTATATTTGATCAGTTATTCGTTAATAACTTGTGTGCATTAAAATTTTAGCGACAACTGATCAAGATAATCAAATATTGAAGCGAAAAACGAGGTAAATATACCATAGTGTAAGATTATTAAAATTAACTACATAAATCGTCGAAGATAAAGACGCGAAATTGATAAGGAAGAGGCTACATGAGCCGCATGAGGCATTATAGACTGCCTGTTTTTGGTCTTCGGGATTCTAAAACCCAATAGCTTGAGATTATCGATGACGCAGCTTGAAATCTTTGGTAATAGTGTAGATGTGTCTTGCCTTTGCAAACTCTTAGATCCATTAATTCCTCATGTTGCTGTTCTTTCTTCTGTATGTTTTTCGTTACTGTACTTCTTCCAAATCTTTCTCTTCATACCTACACCCTTGTATACTCTCCCTAGTGTGGAAACTTGAATTGCTGCACTTCTGTACAACCCTGTATCTTGAAGCTCAGCCAGTCGGTTAATTAGTAGACGAAACGTCATATTCTGCAACTAACAAGTGTTAAACTATGTAGATAGTATGTTCACGGTAGATGGAATGGAAACAATAACTATGAGAGCTTTGTTAATGCCATTTCTGTTTCTATAACAAATTCACTACGCCCTTTTGGAAGCGTCGTTTTAAAACTTGTCTGATAATGTCGAAAAGTAAATCTATGTCTTAAGATGACTGTCTTATTGAACCATTCTGCATGTCTGTTTTTTTGCTGAATAGTCGATGGTGATTTGGAGCTTCAAAAAGACTCATGGGCTTGGGAGAATTGCGACAGCTCTGTGGTCCAAAAATTGCTTAAGATGAAATTTGCATTTCGAAATTACTATACTCAAAAGATGTCTACATATTAGATAAGTTATTTTGAGGTAATACACATTGACTGTACAGTATATTAATATATGGATGATTCGGTCATTAATCTTTCTCTAGACTTAGCGTGACTTATTTAGCTTAGTATCTGAAAGATCTATAATGGAAATTAATACTGATGTTAATCATTTAGATAGCCCACATGTCACTGTGTTCCTTAAGTCAACTACTGACTAAATAATATTAGTGCCATAAGATCTACGAGGATCATTAGCTTTAGGCATTAACTAAAAACACTTTTGAAATTTTCTGATCTTGTACATGGTCGTGTCAACAGGTCTCCTAATCTCCTGATATAGTAACTGTTTGAATATGTTCATTGACCCAGTTGATAGAATCCAACCTGCCCATAACAACTGTTGAATGGTTGTTGTCAGGTTTAGCAATTATATTATATTCCTTGTTTTCCCTGAAACATTTCAGTGTTGATAATTCTTGCAGTGGTAAAATTATTTTACGACTCCTTCCGATATTTAGGTGTCAAAGCATCCTGTGGACTTGGACTTCGTCAATTAGTTGCCTTATCTATTGTCCTTAATTCTACTTCTATACTATGAATGACATCCTGAGATCTACTGTTGACATTTCAAATGGAACTAACTGTCTTCAGACAAATCTACTCTTTAGCGGAATACATTCTTGTTCACACTGCCAACATGATGTTCTAGTCAGTACCAGGTAGAGATGCTGATAAAATTTAGAGTCTGTTGAATACATTGAGCAAAAGTCTTAGAATGTTTGGAATCCTACAGCAGTGAACTCCACCAACTTCTAGACGAAAGGTAGAGAGAGTGGAGTAGTACAGTAGGTTGACAATTTCATTTATTTGGGAAGTTTCATTAGCTTCATTGGGCCGAGTGCTGACTAAATTCCAGAACAGGTACATAAGGTTCACATGATATTTTCCAACTTACGCTATCTCTAGCGTAGACATAATATCCCACTATTAATCAGAGTATCTGCATACTGCGCACCAGATCATTATGTCCTCCTTTAAAACTATGAGACATGGCCATTGAAAGCGAAAGACTTGAAGAGGTTAGTTGTCTTTGACCACAGGTTTTTACTTTTTATCCCTTAGTGATGTCGAGGTTAGGCATGGAGAGCCATAAGGTAAGGAGGGTAAGTCATTCAATGAGATTTTTTAGGACACATGTTACACGAACCGATAAACAGCTTTCCTTGACAGGCAATCTTAAATGATATGAGATTAGCTTGGAAAACAATTTCCGGTGGCCAAATCAAAATGTGGATATAACTCATGAAAAATATTTTGACTGTTCAACTCAGCCTTGTAGGAAGGTGTAGATTGTCTGTGTTGGATCCTTCAGAAGCTGAGTACCAGTGACTGGAAAGTGCTAGTGACAAAAATGTGAAGGCCCTTCCCCGCAACGTACTGTTTAAACCTCTAGATCCATTAAATTATCACTATTCTCCATGTAATTACTGTTTCTCCCTTATGCTCTCATTTATTGTAGTTTTTCGTGTATACCTCTGCTATATGAAGATAAGTGACTCAAACTGTTGCACTATTGTGCAATGTTCTATGTTGAGAATTAAGTAGGCTACGACATACAATTGGTGGATGGTGGCTAGCAGTGGAATCCAGAATGCGCATTTCGTCCTATTCGGGACTCGTCATCTGGATGTACCTGCATTTCTCAGTGAGTGATGACGTTCCCACCGAAGCTCTAACCCAGTGCCCATAGTTTCAAACGCCAAAGCGTTATCCACTAGACCACTTGGGCCACGAGAGCCACCTCTTGTGCAACGGGTCATATTAATTATTGAATTGAATTTTTGATTTTCCCGTCGACTGTTTGGACCGAAGTGCTCGGTCTCAGGTTGACGTGTCGGCTTCTTGTCTGTCTGGCTGTCTGTTTTCGACATAGAACTTTGCACAAATGTGCGGAAGTTCAAGTCGCCACACTCCATGTAGCACGCGAAGCAAGAGAAGAAAGTACAAGAAAAGCATAATAGAAACAGTGAGCAGAGGTGTGAGACAAAGGAGTAATAAAGAAATACAAAACAGTTTCATTGACGATCATAAGTCACAGGGAGTGGATGCATCTGCGCCACTGAGAACGGTTTTCCAAATTAGCCACCATCCACCAATTGTATACTAATTAAATGCCCAGACATCGTCGAAGCATCTGCACAAGAAGCCGACACGTCAACCTGAGACTGAGCACATCGGTCAAATCAATCGACGGGAAAATCAAAAATTCAATTCAATAGGTTACGACATTTTAACGAATTTAGCTGTCCATTTGCTTCGCTTAGTCTCACCAATGATTGTGGGACAGAATTTAAACTTCTCAATGGCTTTTTTTATCGCAATCCCTTAAAGTACGTATCCCATTTTTCATCCTTCCACAGATATATTTTGTACCTGATATTTTCCACCAGTCAACAGCAGAATTAGCAATATCATTAATAACAACATTAAGTCGAGGTATATTTAAAGGTAAGATTTATTATATGGGACTATTTTGCCATTTGTTTTCCATTTCTTAGTTCATAATTTATTCTGCAATTAGGCATGCTTAATGAGAATTTTTCAAATTTCAATTACTCATCGGTTACTTCAGACGTATAGAGTAAATAAACATGCAAACATGTAATATCAGGATTGAGATCATCAGCTACTTCAGGTGTAAATACGTATTGACTTCAGATAGACGACAACTGTTGAAAAAAAAATCTGTTTTGTCCTTGTTTGGGATTCTTCAGAAGGACTTATTGTTGTTACAAGGGACAACCTATCGTTGTTAGCCGTGAAGTCAGGATTGATGCATGCACTGGCGTTATAAAATGATTGAATAACTTTTGATTGTTCTGTTTTTTGGCTTAAATTTCTGAGGATTCACAAAGTCATACAGGCAATTAGATTTGTTTATCCATGGCTTGAGTTGCTGAGGTTCTGCAAAACTACATATAACCTGTATTCTGAATAATAAAAAGGTTTTCGCTGTTTTCATTGTTGCCGCAGTTAAATCTGATTTTTGTGTCTCTCTGAATATGGGGAATATTTTCAAGTGATCAGTTAGTCATAGTGTGTTGTGTCTTGAGAAGCATTCTAACATTCGGGTCTGAGGGTAAAATCCTTGCCAAAGGTGATATTGGATAGCAGTAGCGCTATGTCGTGAATTGGCAGAGGCTGGAACTCATGGACTGGCCATTGGACCAGGTCCCAGTGGCTGAATGGTATACGAGCTTTCCTTGTAACCAAAAGGTCCTGGGTTCAAACCCCTTTGGGTATGTACTGTGAGGAGTCCCAAACTAGGCTGACGAAACAGCTGGCTGTCCAGTACTCCCTGGCAGGTTTTCCAATGGTTTTCTAACCGATGTCAGCTCATGATGAAATCTTGTTACCAATCAATCAAATCCCTACAAATCAATACTTGAAAAAAAATTCTAGTCAAGTTAGACGACAACTAAAATTCAGTAATCCCCCGTTTTCACACGTACTGATAACTCCACCATTACGAGTTGAAGCCAGAACCCTCAAGTTACAAGGCGAAATGTCACACTATTCGGTGACTTGCATAGAATTCAGTGGCTTGCTTATCCATTTTTTATAATTTTTTTCATTTCGCGATATATATAGCTAGACCGTGGCTCACTGTCATTGGTAAACACCTGTCCTCACACCCAACTTGATTACTACTGTCCTACTGTGGACAACCAAAACGTAACAGCAAAAAAGACAGAACCAACTTCATCTACAAGATAAATTGCAACAACTATGGAAACATTATTATATTGCTCAAACTGGAGATTTTCTTTATTTTTCTTATCCACGATCATTAATTGTCTGTCAAAAGACATGATCTCCATTTCTTCCAAATGAAGCATGCAGACATCTATGGACACTAAATGAACTGAGAAAATGTAGAAATCCTAGATAATGGAAACGAAAAAATGCCAGGGAATTTCTAAAACATCTGGTATTGGCATCAGTCTGCAATCAACGGACATAGTTACATAGATAGAACCAGGGAGTACTGGACAGCTATTTCAACCTAGTTTGGGAATCATTTGCAGTATGCACCCACTAGCCAGGGTTCGAACCCAGGAATTTCTGGTTACAAGGCAAGCTTGTATACCATGCTCGCTAGTGACTTGCTACAGGATAGAGTTTCCTGGAGTTCTAGTGAGAAGTCGTGACCAGTCAGGTCCATCCAGATGTTACGTGTGAGGATGGATTTCTCACCGACGACGACATTGGTTGTGGTGGCGCCAAATCAAGAATTGGTAGAAGTTAGAATTCATGCACTGGCTGGCCATTGAATTGGGTCCTAGTGGCTGAATGGTATAGGAGCTTGCGTTGCGACCGGAAGGTCCTGGGTTTGAACACCAGTGGGTGCCTACTGACGATGATTCTCAAACTAGGATGAAATAGCAGCTGTACAGTACTCTAGTAGTTGTTTTCAATGGGTCTGTAACTGATATTAATCTGTGACCAACTCGTCAAAACAAATCTAATCCTTACAAACCAAACTAGAGAAAACAGTTACATAGATCATGCTTATGAATTAATAAAGAATGAGTCACATGATAAAAAAAGTCAAATTCTACGTCAAAAACAATCGATACTAATAAAATTAACATCCAATTACGACCTCAGCAAGGCTATCAGGAGAGACGATTTTATCATTCATAGACAATTAGAATAAATTCACTTCCCGTTGAAGTTTTCACAAATGTAATATTGTCTAGAGAGATAAAGAAAGCTTCGCAAATAAACCATCCAGCTCAGAAAACACACAACTATACGCTGATAACGTTGATCTTATTACAAACCAAGGAATTCCTTGGTCAACCAACTACCTTGTCCTATTTTTGGGATAGTTCATCAACTCTCTTGCATAAATTCGCTATTTGACATCAAAATGAATTATCCATGTTGTAAATGTTTACAGTTGCAAAATGATAAATTTTAGAATAAAACTGGCTTGAACACAGAATATTCTTTCTGATAACTTATTCTTACTACTCAGGTTCTACAATCATCATATATCCATAATGGTTTTAAAAAAAGAATTGTCATTAGGATCAACTTACTACAGCTGGAAACATTAGAATGTATATCAGATAAATTAGGAGGAGTGTTACAGAATTTGAGGTTGTAGAGTGATGACACGTCAGGTTAGCAAATATTGACTAGACTTGTTTCTTTTGTACACAGATTTGAGGTGGTTTGAAGGGGATTATTAATGATTTTCACTGTTTAACGTATCCAGTATTTAGGGCTTTTGACGATTTCTTCGGTGCTTGACAGATGACAGAAAAAGACGTTTCAATGATAGCTTTTTGGCCTGTTCGGACAAGGTAATATAATATCGAACTATTGGTGGTTTTAACTATATCCTTATTTAGCCACACTAGTAGGCATCCCTTAACCTGAAAAATTAGGATTATAGGACTATTTACAAAATAAATTGTGTGAACTGTAACTGGCATTACATCGGCTAAAGTCGGCGTCCCCTTGGAATTAGAATCCAAGAACACAAATCAACCGTGAAAAGACACGATGCATATATTCTTTAGTATCAATGCACATAGACAATTATGGACATCAATTTGATTGAGATAATGTCGAAATCTTAGACAGATGAAACACCAAAAGTGCCAGAGAATTCCTATAAGCCTGGTACCCAGTATAATATACAATCAACAAACACTGTAATATAGATGAAATATACCAGCTAATAAAAAGTAAAGGAGGAGTGTGTCGGCAAGGGATTGAGCCCCGGACCATGTGCATGCTCGGTGAGCGTCCTAACCACTATGCCACTGACACACTCCTTTACCTCGCTAAACCAGAAATAATGCTGGTAAAGAGGGAAGGTTGGGCATGAGGCAGGCTAGCAACCCCATCATGTAAAATAAACACTTCTACAGAAACATGAAGCCGCCAGCTTGAAGCTGTATGCTCCACTGGGGAACGTGAAGGAAAAAAAATAAAATAAAACGTAAATCATGTGACCAGAAAGTTTAAAATCCAAGTCAATAGAAAATGGTCAATACATATGTAAAGATGGTTACCACGAGACGCAGTTACCTCACTCATGAAGAAATTTAAATCATTTCACTTTATGCTAAATATTGCACTGAAAATGTTGTCTAGAGGGACGACAAAAGCTCCGCAACTAAACCAACCAGCTCAGAGAACACTATTAATTACAAATTCTAGACCAACGGCTTATACAAGTAGCTCTAGAGGAGTATTTAAATTGAGAGTAGGGGGTGGCAAGTCTAAGTACTTCTGTGACGACAGAAGGCAAGAGCCAGGCAACAGATCGTTTATTGCGAAAACAGATATTTATAGATTTTTATATATTATTATTATTCGTTATTGCTAGGAGAAAAATAGCGTTGTCTGATCGGTTGTTTTCTCGCCGAAAGTTAATCTGTCATCTCATTGTGGCCGTTTACTTTGAAGGTAAGACCATATATCTGCGAATCGTATCCACCCACGCAAAGTGTTTATTCTTGTTTTTCTTATCACTAAGATTTGGGAAGTGAACACTGACGTAAATTTCGGTCTACCAATTTTGGCTAGCAGACATCTCTTACTACACTTCGTCTTCCAGTTTCGGAGTCACAAACGGTTATGTGAAAAATGTTAGTTGCAGCTTACCAGCGTTAAACTTTTTTAAAATCGCTTTGCTGAACTTCTTGGCTATTTTTTCGCTTATTATATCACCTTTAAATTGTAGTTGCATAATATATACTGGCTTCTTGTGAACAGATACTGTCTTGGCTTTCATATGTTTTATAATGAACTCTTCGAGGTGACTGTTTTCAATTAACGTGTCGTATGCAACCTTGAATTCTCCTTCAGTCGAATCTTCTGATCTTATGATCGACAGTCTTTATCAAATTTCTTTTATATGTGAGAGGAATAAAACTGTGGAAATATGTATGTTGACCTGCCTAAATACTTTTCTAATGCCACCATCTGGTCTTCTTGTCAGTACGATATCAAAGAAGGTGAATGTACTTCACTGAAACCAGATATTGTTGCTTTCATGTCCAAATCATTTTCCCAAAGGATGAAGGCGTCATCCAACAACCATTGTGATAAGAGTTGTCTCCTAGTCAAAATTTGTAGACAGTAATTTACGTCAGTGTTTACTTTCCAAATATTGGTTATGAGGAAAGAACAAGAACAAAGACTGACTCAACAATCAATCAGAGCACACTTTGTTTGCGTAGGTGGATATAATTAGCAGATAGATTATTTGACTTTCAAGAAACAGCGACAAAGAGATGAAAGATTAACTTTTTAGTGAGAAACAACCAATCATAAGATTCTGTTTGTCTGCTAACAATAATCTATTATAATGGTCATAAAAATCTATAAATCCTTAATAAACGATCTGTTGCCTAACTCTTGCCTGCTGTCGTTACACCATTACTAGGCTGACCTACTGTGGAAAATTCAAAAATTCAGTATTACTATTGTTCTTTCTTCAATAATCAGTCTTTTAAAGAAAATATTCTCTACTGAATGCTTTGTTAGCACTAATCAATGAGAGACAGCAACATTTAGCGTTAATCACCATCAACGGGCGGGAGAGATTTGAAAGAGGTTACTTCATTCACTTCACTTATCTAGGGAGCATTGTTTCAACTACAGGCAATCGGAACGGATGAGGATATCAAATCGAGAATCGGGAAGGCGAGAAAAACATTCACCAACCTGAAATCAATCTGGAAATCTTCGTCACTCAGACAGCATCAATATTAAAATCCAGTCGGATTTTCAATACAAACAACTTCAAGTCAGTCAGTTCTTCTATGCGGATGAGACAGAAACTTGGCGGGCGGGTCACAAAGAGTATTTCCAACAGCCTGTTGTAGACCTTCATCAACCAACAACTGTCTCCGCTCTATACTGAAGATCAGATGGCCGGACCGGAAAGAATCACCAACAAGAAACTATGGGAACAAAGAAAAGAAGAAGCAATCGCCAGCCAACAAATATGCAGGAGAAAGTGGAGATGGACTGTTCACTCGTGGCTAAGAAGGCCGCGGGGTGACATTGCGCGCGCGTCAGGTCATTGCTCGAGTGGAACAAGGCCGAAAGGGAAGCACGCGGCGAGTGGGACGTCAATGCAAGGGTGACATGGAGGAGATTGTGTGAAGAGGAGTTGAAACAGTATGGACCAACATAGATGGATGCAGGTGAAAAGTACAGCAGAAAGAATACAGAAGAAAGTGGAGACGTGCAGTTGAAGCCCTATGTTCCACTAGGAACCCAAGAGAACAATAATAATAATAACTAATCAATGAATTTAGAAATGTTTCTATGATACGACTTTTATTCATAATCCTCACATATATGTTTTCCATTTTAAAAACACATTCATTTAGACACAAATGAACTATTTCAAAAATGGTTGCTAACACAACAAACAAATTCAATGTCGAATGTTAACAATTATCCAATGATATCCTACATGTTATTACATAAAAATGATAATTCATTAATACGAAGATTATCGCTGAAATTGAAAAAGTTGACTAATTTAAATGATTATAAACAGTTTACAAGAAGGAGAAGAAGAAAAGGGATTTATACGAAACCGAAGAAAATGACTTCTCCTTCAGCTGACCTTCTTCCTCATTGTCGACCTATGACTACTATTGTGGATCATTCTAAAGATTATGAAATGATGGTAACGAGAAGAAATACTCTCCCGGAAATAATAACATCACCACTCGTCAATATTCGGAATTCTACATTTCAGTTATGTAAACAAATTAAAGGATCAAGAATTGGTTTGATTGGTTTAATGAATGAAACATCCAAACAGATAGCATTGATTGCCCAATCAGGTTTAGGCATGGAAGTGAGTTATTATCAAATGCATCCATTGTAAGTTAGCAAAGTGTAAAAGTGTTCGTTTTTGATTTTTAAACTTCATCACATGTAAAGCCTATTTCTTTTTTGTTGTTATTCTAGTGTGTTGTGTATGCTTAATCTAAAGTCATTTTCAGATCCTCTGGTAGGTTCAGATTGGATTCATAGCCGATAAACTCTTAAAAAAAAATCGTTAGTTGGTTTGTAAGGATTAGATTTGTTCTGACTAGTTGATCATGGATTGACATCAGTTAGAGAACCATTGAAAACTATTCCTAGGATACTGGACAGCTGTTTCATCCTAGGGTGGGAATCATCAGCAGTGCGCCTCCACTGGGGTTCGAACCTAGGAGACCCGATTCAATGGTCTTAGAATTCTAACTTCTGGGTTTGAGTCCCAGTAGGTGCGTACTGCCGATGATCCCCAAACTAGGATGAAACAGCTGCCCAGTACTCTAGTTCCGGTTTTCAATAGTTCTCTAACCGCTATAAATCTGCGATCAACTCGTCTTAAATGTCACTTCGTTTATTATTATTATTATAAAAGGTTTTGTATTTCCCAATGAATGAAGAGATTAAAACGATAATTTTCAAGTATTGGTTTTGTAGGGATTTTGTTTGATTGCATGGAGGATTTAATCATGAGCTGACATCAGTTAGAGAACCACTGGAAAACCATGCAATCAAACAAAATCCCTACAAAACCAATACTTGAACATTAATCTGTGCTCACTAGTGACTGGCCCTATTCAGGCAGTTAACCTGGGGTTCTAGAGGGAAGCCGTGGCCAGTAGGGTACAGCAGGTTGAAGATGAGGCAGTAACCCATCGAAGAAGACATTGCGAAGTGGTCGCGCTATGTCGTGAATTCGCAGAAGTTAGAATTCAAGGACCATTGGATCGGGTCCCAGTGGCTCAATGGTCTACGAGCTCGCCTTGTAACCAGAAGGTCCTGGGTACGAATCCCGGTGGGTGCGTACTGCTGAAGAGTCCCAAACTAGGACGAAACAGCTGTCCAGTACTCCCAGGTGGTTTTCCAGTGGTTCTCTAACTGATGTCAGCTCATGATTAAATCCTCCATGCAATAAAACGATAATGTTGCTTTTACTGACATTTCTCTATTTAATATTGTTCACAGCTTTATCAAAGTAGTTTTATTAAACCAGAATTTATAAAATCTCAGCTTATATTTTTATGACAACTTAATCATCGTTCCTCAGCATGGCGTAATTTATACTTCGGGTCATTACACCTAATCATCGTAAAAGTATCAGTTGTTTCAAGTCTTCTTAGATGAGCACAATCTTTGATGTTAACGGATGAAAAGGAGAAAGAAGACGAAGAAATATGAAACATTACTTAGACCCTAGAGAGAAATAAATTGCTCAAAGAATTTCATCTACAAAATCAAGACCGAAATTTTAATATGGTCGAAAACGTGTTCAGAAGATACAGATCTCAACAGTTGTCATCCCATACTCTGATCAGAAACGTCAGACAATATCAAAAGAGTACTCATTAAGCACGACATCAGAGTTTTCTTCAAAACATCAGACACATTACAAGGCAATCTTGTCCATGTAAAAAACCAAATTCCTTGGGATTCTCCATCTTATTGTGACTATAAAATAAAATGTTTGGAATGTGATAAGATATACATCGGACAAATCTCATCAGAGAGAAATCAAAATAAGAAGAAATGGACCACCAGAGAGCATCTTTTCGACCACTCAGAAATCCAGTTGAACTAGAAAAACTCGAAAAATCATCAGCCGTAGCTCGTCTACACGCTATAGAATCAGGCCACAAAATTGATTTTGACAATATTGAAATCATCATCCAGAAAAATTTCAGGAATCACAAAGACCGTCTAGTATCAGAAGCACTTCATACCCAATGGAATCCAAATTGTCTGGTGAATAGGAATGATGGACTTTAACAGAATTTCACCTGGTTACAACGCCTCCCTCCTCCATAAAATGAAAAAATCGACACGATTGTGATAAGCAATTTTATTATGTAGACTCACTCTGCTTTTATGATTTCACACACTTATCAAATCCAGCAATCTACACCTGGTTTTGTTATCTTTACAAATTGGCCAGTTTGACAACGGAAAAATGACCCCATACTGTGAAACGATAATTAAGTCGTTATCTCTAAACTGTGTGGATTTTGTAAACTCTGGTTAAATAATACTACTTTGATGAAGCTATTAGCAGCAGCACTAATGAATAGCGAAACGTCCGTAAAAACAACAACGTTTTCAAGTGATGGTTTGTAGGGATTTGATTGGTTTCAGGATTTCATCATGAGCTGACGTCAGTTAGAGAACCACTGGAAAACCACCTGGGAGTACTGGACAGCTGTTTCGTCCTAGTTTGGGACTCTTCAGCAGTACACACCCACCGGGATTCGAACCCAGGACCTTCTGGTTACAAGGCTAGCGAGCTCGTATACCATTCAGCCACTGGGACCCGATCCAATGGTCCTTGAATTCTAACTTCTGCCAATTCACGACATAGCGCAACCGCTAGCCAATGTCTTCGGCGAGTATATGTCCTCACACCCGACCGGCTGCATCCTACTTGTCACGACTTCCCACTGGAACCCAGGTGACTACCTACCTGAATAGGGCCAGTCGCCAGTGAGCATCTCATTGGTATTCAAGTGATGGTTTGTAGGGAATTGATTGGTTTCAGGATTTCATCATGAGCTGACATTAGTTAATCCCGGTGGGTGGGTGCATGCTGCTGAAGAGTCCCAAACTAGGCTGACGAAACAGCTGTCCAGTACTCCCAGGTTTTCCAATGGTTCTCTAACTAATGTCAGCTCATGATGAAATCCTGAAACAACGTTTTCGTTTTGTTTTTCATTCATTGAGAAATATGAAAGACCTTTGTTATAATGAATATCACATATACCCAATGCCCAAACATTTTTCAAACTGTTAAAAGTGAACCTAGTTTGAACATATATCAATCACTAAGTTGACCAGAAGATAGATAGTAAGCCCGGAGAAACATAGACGGCTAGGTATGAGGCAAGGAAATCCACCTTGTCTCACAGTTTGAAAATGGTTGGTTAGATCCTCAATATGGATGTATGTCCTCCTGAAGAGTTTTCATTTAAAGTTAAACATCTATCCAGGATTTCTAGATAACTGTCTAACCTATGTATCAATTCATTATGTAACTTGAAATATATATTTTTTGTTCCTTCACGTTCCAAGTGGAACATTGGGCTTTAAGCTTCTGTAGGTGTGTTTATTTTTACAGGATGGGGTTGCTAGCCCCATGCCTAACCTTCTCTCTTTTTAATAGCCTTATTTTTATTACTAGCTTAGCGAGGTGAAGAAGTGCGTCGGCCAGGGATCGAACCCCAGACCATATGCATGGCCGGTGAGCGTGCCGACCGCTATGCCACCGACGCAACTTGAAATATAACTTGAATTATTTGCTACATAAATCACACATAAGAACAAAAAATAATAATAATATGAAGCAGTAGAATTAATTACTACCATAAAACAGTAACTGATGGAATCCGCCAGGGATACTCACTAAGTTAATAGGATAAAAGACAGGAGTGATCAAATCGAAAAATAACATCACCATTTCATATAATCTCTTGCTGACTGTTGGGTTTGAGTAATATATTTGAAGGTTCAAATTAGTGTGATTTAAAAAAGCCATCTACACTACTGTAAGCATCAGTGATTAAGGAGTTTTGATGAAATCAATGGAAATCATTCACACCGATCCAGGGATACATATTAAAGGTGACGATCTTAGACTACAATGAATTGACCAAAGATGTACTCCACTTCATTGGAATTTACTACTTCTAGTGTATTTGAGATTATGCATCGGCGGTTCAATGGTAGAATAATTACTACACACACTCATATGGCCCAGGTTCTATTCCCTGTAGACGCATTGCTAAATCTCGCCTAGTTTACAAGCCGGTAGTAAGCTCAACAAAAAAAACCCGGAAGGTTGGGTGTAAAGCAAGCAACCTCGCCCCCATTAACACAACAACTCCACCGCTAATGAGCTGTCCCCTGCTTGAATCCCTATGTTCCACTAAGAACCCAAGTGAATGAGGAAAAAACATCTACATTTTTACAAACGATCAATATTCATTTTGTCTAAACACACTCCATTTTGTCAGGTATGTAAGCCGCCATACACTAATAGCAGTATATGAAAATTATATTTTTGATAATTGAATCGCAACTTATTCTAATTGTTGTACAACAAATCGAAAGTGTTGGTGAGGGAAGATCTAATGATTTCATCAAATTTCGGTAAGAATCTTCAGCTGACTATTCTCTATATAGGGTGGTATATATATATATATATATATATATATATATATATATAATGAGAAATACATGAGGAGATACGTGAGTGATACGCAAATAAGCTACAACGAATCATTGATAAAAAAGGACAGGTATGAATATTTTACACATAAAGTTCAGACAAATAAGCAGAAAGAGGTAAAGGAGCTCAAAAAATTGGGATTTAAACGAGTTGCATCACTACAATACGGAATTAGCTAGAAGAGAAACTACTTGAAATTGTTATGAATTGAAAAATAAATAATAATAATAATAGATTTGTAACAACCGAAGACAAGGGTCAGTCAGCAGATCGTTTATTAAGGAAATCAACAGATATGTATAGATTTTCATGTACATTATTATAGATTATTGTTATCAGACAAACAGAGTCTTATGATTGGTTGTCTTCCTGCTGAAGGTTATTCTGTCATATCTTCATGGCTGTATCTTGGAGGTCAGATCATCCATTTGCTAATTGTATCCACCCACGCAAACAAAGTGTGCTGTGATTGGTTGTGGAGTCCGTCTTCGTTCTTATTTTGCTTATGACCAATATTTGGAGAAGTAACCACTGACGTAAATTACTGTCTACCACTTTAGCTAGCAGCCAGCTTTTACCGCAGAATGAGTAAGAATGATGGTACTGACTGAAGGTAGTTTTAATTGTGACAAAAGGAATGGCAATAAAAGATGGAGTAGACACATCACACTAATTACTAGTGTCCAAACAAAGTCCTACAGGAGGTCAATCGCGAGCCCGAATAGCTCAGTGGTGGTCACGTCTGTCTTTGACTACAGCACTGGGTGATGCGAATTGGAATCTCAGAAGGGACATGAGTTGTTCCTTCAAGGTAGTTTCAGATACGCCTTGCTGACTGACTAACTGGTGAGTGCCAACTAGCACAAAACCTAGGTGAAGTAGGGCTTCCTCTGACCGATTGCCCCTAACCATCTAATATAACCAGCCAAAAGTGCACCGTGATGGTGAGCCACCTAAAATGGTGGCGACATTGCAAAATTGACTGATAGAATCTAGTCTGTACCAAAGATAGGACTTAGCACATCAGACTAGTTACTAGTGTCTAGTAAAAGATGGGATGTGATAATAATAATAATAATGACAATGATAATATTTAATAGGCAAAAGACATCAGCATGTTGGATTCAAGGTGATTACCATTTCCTTCTTTTTACAGAAATACACGGTGTATAAGCTTTCATTGCACAATCCTTCACAATTTTAAGCGTCTTTTCGTTTCAAATCACCGAAAATGCTCATTGAGTTATGAAGAAAATAAAAGACAAATTCAGCAAAGAAAATTTTCTTTATTGACGAAATTATCTTCACAGCCTGGCTGTATAGTCGTATTTATATTTACCAGAAATGTAAAGTGTTCCATAGCTGAGTAATGCGAGGGTGACATAATTGATATACTTACTCAGAAGTGGCTTCCAAAGTAGAGATAACACTTGTGAATTACGTACTACTCAAATTTATAACCCTTTCTCCGTTCGTACCTTTGAGTATTACATTATATGCATTTGTTACTTTTACTTTTAAAAGCCACTTCTGAGTAAATATATCAGTTATGTCACACACACCCTGTTACTCAATAATGTACTATTATACATTTTTTGCAAATATAAATACGACTGTACAGCCTCTGAAGATGATTTCGTCGATAAAGAAGGTTTTTGTCGGTGGATTGTTCTCTCGCTTTTTTGTCTACTGAAAACAGTCAATGACATGACACTGTGTTGATATCACGTCCATAGTCTACAAGATGCTACGTACGCTGTGTAACTTTCTGATAATTTGACTCCTGGCCTTTTCATCCATTTAGGCGAATACTCCATCATTAAAGTAGGCAACCGCCTTTCCATATAACCCGTCCATTTCCTTCCAAAAACACAGTGAAACTGATATACTTTGCTTGAAGGTTTCATTTCACCTGACATAAATATTTCATTCAGGTCAACGCACGGTACTTTTCATAAGATATTCTAGGAACAGTGTATTGATTTTCCGAGTTTGACCTTGGACTGATATCATTTAGAGAGTCATTGAAAACCGGAACAGGAGTACTGGACAGGTATTTTATCCTAGTTTGGGCGTAGAGTTCTAGGTAAACAGGGGAAATCAATCGAAGAAATCGTGAAGTTACAAAGACTGAGATGGTTAGGACACGTGTTACGTAGGCATGCCTAGCCATCGCCTCCCTCGACGAGCAATGTTAGCGGATATAGGGTCAGGCTGGAAAAAAGCTAGCGGCGGTCAAACAAAAACTTGGCACCAGTCAATCAAATCCACAACAGTTGGTCTAAACCACGTAGAAAGGTGTAGACTTCCAGGCTGGGGTCCTCGGGACGGTAAAAATCTATGGTTGGAAACAATTGGTGACATGGCTCAAAACCGTTCTCAGTGGCGCAGATGCATCCACTCCCTGTGACTTATGATCTTCAATGAAACTGTTTTGTATTTCTTTATTACTCCTTTGTCTCACACCTCTGCTCACTGTTTCTATTATGCCTTTCTTGTACTTTCTTCTCTTGCTTCGGGTGCTACACGGAGTGTGGCAACTTGAACTGGTGCACATTTGTGCAAAGTTCTATGTCGAAAACAGACAGACAGAGAATCATCGACAGTACGCGACACCAGGGTTCGAACCCAGGACCTTCGGGTTTCAAGGCAAGCTGTTATATTATGCAGCTACTGAAACGCCATTCATTAGCCAGCCCATGAATTACAACTTCTACCAATTCGTCATTTAGCGTGACCACCAATTAATGTCATCGAAGGGAAGTCGATCCTCACTTCCTACTGGATGTAGCCAGCTAGTCACGACTTCTCAGTAGAACTCCAGGAAACTCTGTCCAGTATGAAGTTACTTTCAAGCATCGGATTAATTTTCAAGTGTTCATTTGTAACGATCTGATTTGTTTTTCTGGTTTGATGATCCCTAAAACTCAGGTGAAATAGCTCTCCAGTACTCCCTGGTAGTTTTCAATAGTTTTCTTGTAACAACAGAAGACAAGGACCAGGCAATAGATCGTTTATTAAGGAAATCAACACATATTTATAGATTTTCATGTACATTATTATAGATTATTATTGTTAGCAGAAAAACACAGTCTTCTGATTGGTTGTTTCCCACTGAAAGTAACATTTCATCTATTTGTGACTGTTTCGTGAATGTCAGATCATCTATATATGTTAACTGTATCCGCCTACGCAAAGCCTTTGTTCTCATTTATCTCATGACCAATATTGGGGACACAAACATTGACGTAAATTACTTTCCACCAATTTCGACTAACAACCAGCTCTCACCACACTCTATATGATATCATTCCATACTCAAACTCGAAAAACAAATCAAGTGTTTATAAATCAACTCTTGAATATTGGTTTTTTTAAAGATTTATTTTCCTACCGAGTAGAACTTAAGGCTTCTAGACTCAAGCTTTACACTTTGCCCATTTACTGGGATTAATATCGCCTAACTGGGGTATTGGTCTGTATCAATCTAGAGTCCGACTAAGTCCTCACGTATGGTTGGCGGGCGTTCTACTGTGAAGGCATTGATACATATTATTCTCAGCACATAACAAGGAAATGTGTATCGGTGGCACAACAGTAGAATGCTCGTCTACCACGCCCCATGTGGTCCGGGGTTTGATCCCCGGCCACAGACGCACTCCTCCTTTACCTCGCTAAGCCAATAATAAGGCTGATAAAGAGGAAAGGTTGGGCATGAGGCTAGCAACTCTATCCCGTTAAAAAAAATAAATAAACACCACTACTGTCGAAACTTCAAGTCTCTCTCTAGCTTGTAGCCGCCCTCTCTATGTTCCACTGGGAACGTAAAATAACAAAAAATAAAATAATAAAATAAAGAAAAAAAATAATCAACCAGACTTCCTTTCTTCTGATTTCTTCTACTTTTCAAATTATTACCTTTTTTAATGTTATTTCGTTGTGTTTTTGTTTTCTAAAAAGACCAGATACTACTTATAAATATTATAAGTATCTTGAAGATTTACTCGGAATGAATGATTACATCATATTAGCTGATGATACAGTCAATCAGTCAATTCCATGGTGTTTAAATACCCCTGTGGCGGATAAAAATACAACCAATAAAGCTGTTGAATATAAAATTAAACCAAAATTATGGTTAAGTACAGAACAGTTGAAATATTGTAATAAAGAGGCACTTTTAATTTCAGTAACATCTAGTAAGTTATCTTTGCTGTTGTCATTGTTATTATTATTATTGTTCTTTTAAGAATTGTTCTTTTGCCATTCCTTCACTTATTTTCATTTTCAAATCAGTTTAGTCACAGGCAGTTGAAGAGTCCAAAACTAGGACGAAACAGCTATCTGATATTCAGAAATTCTCCAACTGTTGTTATTTATTGAAGGAGTCCCTATCATATTATACTACTGTTCGACTCTTGAATTCTGAATGGAATATAGGGCTTCCAGAGTAGGCGCTTACATTTCACTCGATTCTGTGGTATCACTTTCAGCCGGTTGTAAGACTGCCCAGAAGCTCTGACTTCAATTTCTTACATAGTTTTGTCTGTATCATTATCGGACACCTAGCCCATCACTTGTATTTAGTTTCCACACTCTTTAACCTGTGTCCAAACCATCTCCATTCCCTTCTGAATATACCTGAGGCGATGGATTTCCCTTTTAGTTGGTTCGTTGCTACAGTTTTTTGTTACTTGTCATTTCCGGTAGGGTATCTTATCTTCAGTACCAAGTAAAGCAGATAGGTGTTGATGAATGTTAGCAGCAACCCGTTGAAAGTGCTGTTGGCGACGCTGCAAGTCTTTGGACTTTACAGAAGCGTTAACTTGACAGTCATGTTAAAAATTCAGATCTTCGTGCTTGTATTGAGTGTTGTAGATCTCTAGATTTATTTAAGTAATGGATCCCTGTTCGCTCTTTTCCGACCAAATTCTACCTCACATCCTTGCCGATTGCCTGTAAGCGGTGCTATACTGTCCAGATAAGTGAAGGAGACAATTTCTTTTAGATTTATCCTGTTTTTGGTGATATTGTGGTTCGTTTTTTGGTAGAGTGTCTTCATCTCCTCTGTTGTCCGCATGTTCACTTAAAGTCTTGTCTTCTCTGCTTCCTAGGTTATTTGTGTTGGTTTTGTCCATAAATCTTTTGGTTTTGTGATACACGAGACTTAAATCATCCGCGAAATTCAATCTTTTTGTCTGTCCGAAATATATTCCCTTCTTTTCTCTCCACATGAAATGTCGCATAATTCAGTCCAAAACAGACAAGAAGATTATTGCAAATTCCTGAATCTAAAAAAAAATAGAAAAGCTGCTTTTTGTGTGGCTGCGAAATTCTCATGAATCCAAAATCATGGTATGCGTAATTTACTTTGCTATCATTATGTTGGCATCCGGTAGTTCAAATTTTTCAGGTTGTGTTCAAATACTTGTTATCCGATGACTAATCCTGATCAAAGAATACTGACTGATGATCCATTCTAACACAGTGCTTAAGTTTTACACTTAAATTAATGAATGACTACCTCCTAATTAATGTATGCCTGTATATATTTGCTATACTACGCTATAACCATCGACTTCACATCTCGTCCCATTTATTTTGTTAAAAAAAGTCTGCATTGAGATGTATTCAGTTTGTAATGTAATTACGAAGTCAGGAGGCTCTTCCTCACTGTACAATTTGAATTATTACTTCCTGAAGGCTCTTAGGACACACAATAGGTAATTGTCAGATGATATTTAATAATAATAATAATGTGTGTCAGTGGTTCGGCCGTAGAGCTCTGGTCGATCATGGGCGTCGTCCGGGGTTCGAGTCCCGACCAGCGAACACCTTAACCACCCTTAGCCAGTTACAGTCCCGACAAAGAGGGAAGGTTGAGAGTGAGGCTAGCAACCCCACCCTGTAAAGATACAAACCGTTGCTACTGAGACTCCAAAGCTTTAGCTAAAGCAATAAGAAGACATAATTTGTCTGAATCGTGTAATGTATTTGTGCAACACATTTCGAATAATCTGATCACACACGAACTTGTCATTAGAGAATATATATGAAGTTAATAATGAGGTAAGAGGTGAGAAAAATAGACTTAGGTCAAGTTAAAAGGACATATTCAAGGTCAGAATAACAATTTTTATTTTTATTTTTTTTTGGTAACAGCTTCATTCCACACCGTATTTTTGGTACAAGTATGGAATTTTCAGCGTGGATATCGGTAGCCCAAATTTCGAAGGCCGACCATAGATATCTGGTGTGCGCCGGTGTGGGCTCGAACCCCGGACTATGTGCATGGTCGTCGAGATTCCTAACCACTGTGCCACCGACGCACCACTAAACCAAATAACAAAGGTAATAGTACATCTGCTGTGGTATCAAAATAAAGTTTACTAAGAAAGGTTTAGTGTGATGACGAATTGTTGCTTTGAACGTATAAAGGCGGTTTAAACTTTCTAATTGCCAGCTGGGGTTCCCACAAACTTTAGAATACGCCCCAAACACGTTTTATAGATAGGTTTAAAAGATCTGTTAACGTCAATTTTACGTCCTGTCCCTATAATACGTTTCGCAATAGAGGAGCTAGGTCTCCTGTTCTCACCGTTAATAGGTTCTGAAGATTCTGTTTGTTTCTGGAGCCATTTAGGAATATGCTCTGAAGCTAGTCCTTACTTGCAGAGATCGATGAGTCCTGCCTATGTATGTGTGTCCATACGTACACTCAAATCGGTAAATACAGTGGGATGTGATGTCATTTTTCGCATGTTCGAAGGACTTAGATAGATATATTGGCTTTACATTCTATATTATTATGATATTAGATACATGAAAAGTCTTTTTTTTAACAACAGCGTTCAGTCTTTGTCTAGTTATCAAGCTGCTTTGGTGCCCCATATAGGGTAGCTTGATGTACACTTCTTTCTTAGAGGCAATTTGGAGAATGAGTCTTGACGTTCTGACTACTTTATGTATCTCCAGATGAACTTGTCTGGATAACTGTTATCAACCAGAGTTTGTATCGACTTTCTTTCTTCTTCATCAAGTGTGTCTGTCTTCAATGCATTCATATTCGTTGGATTCTACTGAAGAGGCACCTCGCTTACTAAGGCTCTTTTGTACTGAACAGAGCAGAAACTGTGGTAATTAAGATACTGTCCTGTCCAGGTTGGTAGGTTTTCTACAAATAGATCTTTTTATTGACCCATCAAGCCGTCAATCGACTAAGCAATATGTCTAGGAAAGATAAACAATTATCTTCCCCTCCTACAGACAGATGTAAGTGATGAATGAAAAAAAACTTTATTCCAAAAACAGTACTTTTATAATACAGAATGGAATTCTCAGCATTTCAATATAGAAAATATCCCCATTTAGACATTTAGAAAGGAGAAAGATTGAGCGAAGAAATATTTACTTTTCAATTAGATCCTCACCTCTGGCTCTACTCTAATATATATCTATGTAGCATTTTAATTACAATACACAACAATTTACCAATCAAGTGGCACTGATATGTCTGTTTGTTAACAATAATTAGTCAGTGTCAAAATGTCAAACAGTGGAGTGATAATTAATTAACGAAGAAAATTAATATACACAATTAAAAGGTGGAAATGGTTACAACACGTGGATTGCATAATGCATAATTTTGGAAAAATGAAGAGCAATTAAGGAATAAGCGTGTGCACAGGTTGATTACGTAACAGATTGTTAAAGAAAATAAAACAATTTGGACAATGACAATTTGTAACTAAAGTTGAAGTGGTCATAAGAATAAAATAATTTTTTACAAGGATAACACGTAATTAAATATGAAGTAGTCAGAAATATAATGAAATAATTTGGACAATTATAGTTTTTAAAATTTAAAAAAATTTTACGGGGAGGGGGATGAAGTAGTCCGGTTTATACAATCATGTAAAGATGGCCAAGGTAAGGAAACTGGCTGTACAAATTTCTTCTGAACACACAAGTTTGGCTTCTTCAGGTGGATTCCTACTGCTTCAGCACACGCTTATTCCTTAATTGCTCTTCATTTTTCCAAAATTATGCATTATGCAATCCACGTGTTGTAACCATTTCCACCTTTTAATTGTGTATATTAATTTTCTTCGTTAATTAATTATCACTCCACTTTTGACATTTTGACACTGACTAATTATTGTTAACAAACAGACATATCAGCGCCACTTGATTGGTAAATTGTTGTGTATTGTAATTAAAATGCTACATAGATATATATTAGAGTAGAGCCAGAGGTGAGGATCTAATTGAAAAGTAAATATATTTCTTCGCTCAATCTTTCTCTTTTCTCAGCATTTGTCACAACACCTTGCATCTGATTTACTCAAAGTATAAATAAAATTAAAACAAAATTAACCAGTGGAATTTGTCCACATTTACGGTACGAACTCAAAAATATTCGAAGTACAAAATGAGAATAATAAGTATAATAATTATAATAACAGTGGGTTTCTTTCAGACAGTATTGTCGATGCACTTATAGATTATTGAATCTAATGTTCTGATTGATATAGTCTGGTGAGGGGAAAGACAAAACAAATAACAGTTATTACACAGCCTAAATGATGTTTACGCTTATGAGAAAATAGACAAATAAAAACAAAACATTGAGAGGATTATAAATATAAGAAGAACAATAACAATAAAGCTTGGTGGAATAAGGATAGAGAAAATGGTTGATTTACAAATGCAAAGAAGGTTAGTTAGTTAGTTAGTCAGTTCATTCCTGACACTGTTTTCATCACATAAATTACGTGCTACCAAATATGGTATAGTGGAATCTTTATACTTAGACTAGCACGCATAAAGCCTTTGGTAATGACTTCTTGTTTTGTTTGCCTTAGGAGAGGCACAAGGTGAAAGCTGGGGGTGCTGAAGTGGATGCTCACAGAGTGACAAAATCCCTCTAGTGAATTAGTTGCATGAAATTAAATGCCTATCATCAATGACGATGTCAGCGATATGGCCCAATGAAATATCACTACTCGCCCTACAAACTGACAGTTTTCAAAGTTCTACAAAATATGACATAGTCTTTTTTAAGCAATCCAGGAAAGAAGAAGCAAGGGTGAACAGTAAAGAAGAATAGATAAGATGCATGAGTTGTCATACTGTAAGAGGAAAAGGGATTGAGTTTTGCCTGAGTGCCTTAACTTCTTAACGTAAAGCGTCAGAAGGAATATTTATCAAATAGATGTCGCATTCACGCACTGGGTATTCACCAACCAGGCCTTATTACTGTTTGTTTTTGATACTTAATGGCGTCAACTTAGATTCAGACTTATCCTAACACACTTAGTTTCTGTGGACTTATTGATCGTTTTATTAGTTAACTTTAGTATAAATAATAGATAGTCGAGTTGAAATGAACTTCTTTTTGTGATCACCAACTGTAATAAAAAAAAGACAAAATACAGTCATGCATAAAAGGAGTCACTAATGGATTTGAATGTAGTCAGTTTCATTAATTCACTTTCTTTCACTATCACCAATGAAGAGTTTCTACGGCAGTTCTAATGGAAACTCCTTACAGACTATTATGGTTGACTGACGTGAAGTTTTGTTTTCAAATGTTGATTTTCAGGTTCTTGATTAGTTTCAGGATAGTTGACGAATTGGCACATAAGTTTTGGGGGACGTGTTAAAAGCTAGCTGCTTTGTCCTAGGTTTAGACTTTTTAGAGGTGCCCATTTATGATATCACCCATCTGGGATTGAATCCAATCTGAAATCAATCAATTCCCTGAAAATTATAGCATTTAAAAGCTAATCTAATGCTGACTTGTTGACTGACTACAGGACGAATTCGCCTAGAATTCTAGTGAGAAGTCATCTTCATTGCGATCTACAAAGTCAGATGTGATAAGAAATAGTTACCAATGTTAGTGAATTGCTGTGACGTTAAATAAAGTGAATTGACAGAGGTTAGAATCCACGATTAGCTGGATTCCTGCCCAATGGCTGGATGGTCAGTGAAGTGGCCTGATTTCGATCCCTGATAACGTCTTGGATTTGTACTGGTGAAGAGTCTGAAACCAGGACTAGGGTCTCCACTGATTCTCTAAATGATATCATTTCAAATCACGGAACACACACATCTGATCACAGGGAATAATAAAAAGACGGTTACAGCGAAGAAAATTTTCTTTTGGACGAAGTCACCGTCAACTAGGGTAGCTGCACATTCGTGTATTTATGATAAATGGGGGGGGGAGGGAGAAGTTCCAGAATAATTTCCGGTCAAGGGTCAAACTAATAAAATTGCAATTAGGAATTAAAATGTTATAATCAACAGGGGTAAGGACGGATAAAACTCGAACAAAGTAGCATCATAATTACTGAGAAGATTGGCATATTGTGCAATTAAGGGTTAGCAATATAAAAATAACAAAATAGACAGGATGTTTAGATAAAAAAACCAGTAGGATCACAACTAATGTGACGAATAATTGTTAATGAAATTGGGGATTAAATATGTAGAAATAAGAAAATGACAATAAGACAGGAAGTTCGGATATGAAAATATGGTAGTGTAAATAGTGGAGGGATTAAGAAAAACTTAAAAATAACATGAATAAACAGGAAGTTTGGATAAGAAAGGCAATAGGATAGCCCCTATTAAAAGCATTACCTGTTTGATGGCCAATGACCATGGCAAGGATAAGGCTTGGACGTATTTCTTTCGGATACATCGCATGGGTTGAAGTTTTTGGATGGCTAGTGCCTCGGCTATGCCCATATGTCTTAATCTTACACCCTTTGGTGAATTTGATGGAATCTTGTATATGATTGTGAAGGATTTTGCGAATGGCGTTGAATGTCTTGAGTTGACCAATGTCCATCAGACATTGCCCCCCTCCCGCGTAACTTTTATTTAAATCAAATTTTTTTTTCTATTTTATTTTCTTCTTAAAGGTCAATGTATCGATTTTACAGCGCTTTCCTTAGCTCTACGATATCGTCAACTGGGTGGTGCAGGAATTACTATCCCAACAAAATGGTTTACACCTATGAATGAAATAAATGTATTAAAAAATTTACCGAATACATTTATCCTACCACCAGCAACAAGTTCTGCTTGCTCAAATCCAACCCTACGTGTTGCTTTAGTCCATGAAATTATTAACTTGATTGTTATGAATTTAGATAAAAGTGCAGCAATGAAAGGCGAAAAGATGACACCATCAAATCAAACACTATTCAAAGTTAAAGAAGAATATGTAGGAAGAAAACAATTCAGCAGGATGAAGATGAATAAAAAGCCATTAATTCTTAACAGCTTAAAACGAAGGCTTAGTCAAAGATATCGAGAGCATTAGATGTACGGAAATGCAAATCGACAACAAAGTTAACAACTCTATGGTGATCATCAGAAAGGTTTTTATAAAAAAAAAGGATACTTTCTTACATTCAGTGACCTCATGGTGATAAAAATAAAGAGGTACTCGAATGAATGTATACATCGATATAGGTATATATGTCGTTTCTAACACTGAAATACTCCTTAAACTATTTACTCTGTCAATATGTACAGTTGAAATAATTATAATATTGTATGTGAGGAATATTTGAGTAGCTTTAAAATCACCATTGAGTTGTATGCAAAAGAGAAGACGTTCTGCGAAGAGACTCTTTTCGACGGCGAATTCATTCACATAGCTAGTTGTACAATCGCATTCATATATTAATTATTTGTGTTTGTGTGTACATGAGGTTTGTCAAATTTAAATAATTAGATATAATAGAGAAGATTTGTAGCTCAGGTGGATGATTTTGATGTGGTTGTGTTCTCTGAGCTGGTTTGATAGTTAATTTGCAAAGCTTTCATCGCCCTACTAGGCGATATCTTCAGCGCATACTTCAGTTTGAATTGAAGTGAGCTTTTAGATTTCTCCACGAGTTTATTAATCATATCTCCTGTTGGGTGACCTTGGACGTGACTTGTAGTTTTTGTGTGTTTTCACACCTTCTACCGATAAGAAAGAAACCTCACACACACACACAAAGGGTCAAAGTTCAAGTCAAAGAATTAATCAGTTCCAATACAAGTAACCTAGAAGGTGTGAAAACACACAAAAACAACCAATCACGGCGTTCAAGGTGACCAGGAGAGATGATTAATAAACTCGTGGAGAAATCTGAAAGCTCACTTCATTTCAAATTGAAGTATGTGCTGAAGATGTCGCCTAGTAGGGCGATGAAAGTCTTGCAAATTAACTATCCAACCAGCTCCGAGAACACAAACACATCAAAATTAGATAATTAATCAGGTAATACAACAATGATCTAATTAATATAGAAAAAATGGTTAATTAGACAGCAACTAAAGTAAGATTGAGTTAGTTAGTAAGTTAGATGACGTAATATATAATTGACTAAAATGTTTCAAATGTTTCAACTTAGGTCATGGCATCAACAGAGGTAATTACAGGTAGAGACTAAGTAGAAGTGGGGTAGAGAATAATGCGATTTTTGAATTAGAACTGAAATTGAGCAATTAGGTTGGATGAGGTAACATAAATGACTAGAAACTGAGCGTTGGTCAAGTCAGTAACAGTGGTAGTGAGGTGCAGAAATTAAGTCAGTTGGGGGTAGAGAACAAGAAGGTTGAAAATGTAAAATGTTACAATTGAGAAGACAAAATAATACTAATGAACAGACAGACAAAAAAGAAAAAAGACTAGTGTTATAAACTTGTCGGGTAATAAGATAGATTACTTCTATCGGAAGTGTAGCGATTGAACGAACTTCTTCTGTATGCAGAGTTCAGGAATTAGCAAGTGAACCGCCAATGCTTCTGAACTTTGAAGAAGTCTGACTCGCACACCTTTAGGAAGACTACTTCTTATTCTGTAGACAACTTTGAAGTTTGTTTGAGGTGCGGCTTGGTGTCCGAAATCTATCAGATGTTCTAAGATGGAGCTGTGGGGACATCGTTTTTCTCCTTTGTAAAACCATGTTGGTAAGTGTTCGGTGATACGTTTGGAAAGCGAACGCTGGGTACGGCCGACATACCTGGCTCCACACAACCAGGTGAATTGATAAATACACATTGATGAGACCGGCCAGCAGTGGTAGCTTATCTTTCACGTTCACATCAATCATAGGTTTTGTGGAGAACGTTAGTTGTAGTTCAGCTATGAAGAAGGTCTTCTTAAGTGACCGCGACAGTCGATTTTTAAGTGTATAGTTCGCCTTATTTTTTAGCATTGAAAGTTATTCAGATAATCATTGAAACTACTGATCGATAGTTCACTACGAAGTAATTAATGTCATATGTCTGTGTAGTCCTAGCTGTTGTTACTTCTGGTCATGGTGCTGACTAAAATGCAACAGTTACTTTTACAATGTGTTCACAGACTACCAATCTAGATGACTTGCTATACCCTTCCTGTGCTCTTTAGACTAACGTTAGATGAATGAAGGCAATCAAAGGGAAACCCTATTAATTCCATCTAGGTTTCATGTTTATTCATACTTTTCAACAAGTTGCAAACTTCAGCACCGGGGTATTTTGGGTCTACAACTTACCTCTTGTGTGTGGTATTCAAATAAAGAAGAAGAAGAAGAAGGGTGTGGTTCGAATCCCAGCCAAGGCTTTCCCAAACTTTCGTCTACTTTACTAGCCAATAAAAAGCCTGGAAAAAACAATAAAAGTTTGGACGAGAGAGACTAGCAATCCCATCATATCGTCGCCAGTGAAACTTAAAAACTATAAACTAGGTGATCACATTACAATTACTACTAAAAAGGGAGTTCATTTACTCTACATTTCTTGCAAAATATAACAGGCGTTCATAAATTTATAGCAGGTGTGCTATACATGCATGTAACAATGGCTGGTGTTTTACTTTGAAAATGTTCTCAGATTATCATTTCTGTGATTACTCATTACACTCAGATATTACTAAGTGTATGGTAATAATGTGTTTATGTTATTATTACTATTACTAGTAGTAGTTTTAGTATTCCCTTGGGTTCCGAGTGGAACATACGGTTTCACTCAACACATCTTCACTTTCTTCTGTTTTCTGCCATCCTCTACACAGACGGGTCCATGACTGCCCATAATCTCTTACATCCTCCTACTCCTCCTAACCAAACGATCTCCTTCATGTCACCCTCAAAGCGATGACCCACTCATCGTTTCCCATTCAGATTCCATTCCAGCAATGGCCTGCATTGCACGTGATGTCAATCGACGGACTCCTCAATGTCTGCCCGATCCATCTCCATTTTATCCTACTTATTTCTTGAGCAATCGACTTTTGGTTCCTTTGTTCCCAGTCAACCAGAGTTTCTTCTTGCTAATTCTTTCTGGCCAGCCGGCCGCCCGGGAAATCTCTTGAAGGAAACCAACTGAGCATGTATTACACAATAAATATACCGAAGAAAATTGGAGATGGCTCTCCTACACTCTGAGGAGATCATTGAGCATACCATGAACCAGGACCTCAAGTAGAACCGAAATGGTTCATGACCACTAGTTCAGGGATAATACAAAGGAGATTTATAATGGAGGGGGAGGGGCAAATGTATTCAGATGTTCTGTTGAAGCTATATGATTCACTCGGAACCCAAGAGAACTATCTAATACAATCAAATCAATGTCCACCATGATGGCAAGCTACCTAAAATGCTGAGCTACATTGCAAACCTGACTGACTGAGTGAATTCAGTCTGCACCAAAGAAAGGACTAGACATATCACACTAGTTACTAGTTTCCAATCAAAGTATTATTGTTATTATTGTTCCCTTGGATTCCTAGTGGAACATAGGGCTTCAACTGCACGTCTCCACTTTCTTCTGTCTTCTTTCTGCTGTACTTTTCACCTGCATCCATGTTAGTCCATACTGTTTCAACTCTTCTTCACACGATCTCCTCCATGTCACCCTTGCACTGACGTCCCACTCGCCGCGTGCTTCCCTTTCGGCCTTGTTCCACTCGAGCAATGGCCTGATGCGTGCACGATGTCACCCAGCGGCCTCCTCAGCGAGTGTCCGATCCATCTCCACTTTCTCCTGCATATTTGTTCGCCGATTGGTTCTTCCTTTGTTTGTTCCCATAATTCCTCGTTGGTGATTCTTTCCGATCCGGCCATCTGATCTTCAGCAAAGAGCCAGCGGAGGCAGTTGTTGATTGATAAATGTCTGCGACAGGCTGTTGGAAATATTCTTTATGACCCGCCAGCCAAGTTTCTGATCCGTATAGAAGAACTGACTGACTTGACGTTTGTATTGAAAATCCGACCGAATTTTGTTGTTGATGCTGGCTGAGTGACGAAGATTTCCAGATTGGTTTCAGGTGAATGATGAATGTGTTTCTCGCCCCCTCCCCCCGATTGTCGCTCGATTTGACATCCTCGTCCATTCCTCCTGTACTTGAGACAATGCTCCCTAGATAAGTGAAGTGAATGAAGTAACCTCTTTCAAATCCCTCCCGTTGATGGTGATTGACGCTGAATGTTGCTGTTGTTGGTTGGTTATTTTCATAACCTTCGTCTTGTCTATGTTCACATGGAGTCCTGTCCCGTCTTTTCTGCTTCTTCAACCAGTTTGTCGGTTTTCGCTTGTAAGTCTTCGATTTTGTGACAGTGACATCAAACATAAATCATTCATGCGCGAAATCCAGGTCTTCTAGGTTCTTCACGTCGGTCGGTCCAGGATATCCCTGTCTTCTCGTTTCCCACTCACTGTCTGACGACGCATAGTCCAGTCAGTTCACCACAATTAGGAATATCATTGGTGATAGATAATAAGCACCTTTGTCTGACTCTTCCAATCAAAGTAACCACTATAATCCTACAGGAGGTGAGTCGCGAGCCTGAATAGTTCAGTGGTAACGTCCGCATCCGACTACATCACTGGGTGATGCGAGTTCGAATCTCAGAAGGAGGGACATGAGTTGTTCCTTGCTGACTAGCTGACTGGTGAGTGCCAATTAGCACAAAACCTAGGTCAGGTAGGGCATCCTCTGGCCGATCGCCTCCAACTATCTAATATCACTAATAATAATAATATTAATAATAACGATAGTAGTAAAAATATACTTTATTGATACTCTCACTAGTTTTAGCTTTGTTCTTAACATACATGAACACATACACACACACATTCAAGCCCACAATAATAAAATAAACTGTAAAATAAATAGCAATAATATTATAAATTAGAAGTCAAAAATAAGTTATGAGATACAGGATCTGAAAAGTGGTTAAACTCATGGATGATATATCAACAGTTGGTAGTGTTATCACAGAAAGACTCTGATAAATAAACACACAGTGAGTGAGAGTGGCAATGTGCATGTGTGTATGAGCGGGTGTAAGACACTGAGTTGTATGCATCTGCTGGTTTCTCAAATAATAAATATTAATAATAATAATAATAGAGTTTAAGAAAATATATAATTCTTTTTTTTTATAATGTATATATTTTGTTTTGCGAATTTACTCTCTCTCTCTCTCTCTCTCTACAGATCAATTCCATTACGACGATAGAATTCACTTTCAACTAGCATAATTCGTGCATGTTTACGATCACTTATTTCAATATTTTTATTCAATCGATGTCCATAGATTGATGAAGAAAGTGATGGTACAACTTTGGATTTCTCCTAAAATAGTAATAATAATAATAACCAATCAAATCCCTACAAACCAACACTTGAATAATAATAATGACAGTAAAGACATTGAAGTAGATGGAAAACGGCATGTAAAAGATGACTTTATGTTATGGTTAACAAGGGTTTTATCAGGCAGTGCCTCTACTGAACAGCTGTGCCATCCTAGTTCGAGACTCTTTAGTAACAATGTGAACCCATGACTCTAACTACTCACCCGTCAAGAATCGAACCTAGAATGTTATCAGGATACAAGGTGAGCCCGTTGACGATTCAGCCACTGGGAGGGAATCCGGTGACTTACTCATCAAATATAACTTCTACCGACTCGAGATATGTGTAGGTAGTAGGTAGGACGACCTCTAGTTGATGAGTTTCAAACAAGGATTCGACAGCTATCAAGTCAGTACTCCTTGTGAGTTTACAATGGGTTTCAGTTTATGACCACATTCGGCATCTACATTCGTTTAACAATAATAGTGGATAATTTCCACTACAGAAAGATTAAATATATGGGCGATAATGAGAATTTTTGTTTGGAATTAGATGGTTGGAGGCCAAATTACGTCATCACTGGCGTGTATGTGATATCCAACTATCAGTTAGACGGCGTGAATATTACACAGCTAATTCCTCCTTCATTTTTCAATTAACTGTTAGATGTGGCCATTGAAGATGGAAGACCTGAAGAAGTTATCTGTCAAATCATAGGCGTCCCTACTTCATCTCGCGTGTAAAAGTGGTACAATATGGTGAATAATATTGAGGTTAGGCAACATAGGACTAGGCTGAAAAAGACTTAGAGGTTGTTAAATCGAGACACAGTATGGAATTATGAAGTCTTCTATCGCTGTTCACCAAATGCCGTGATCCATTGGCTTCAGACTTCTGGTTATATACCTACGAATGGTTGCTGATGGTATAGCGGTGGTATAGCGGTTAGGACGTTCGCCGACCATGCATATGGTCCAGGGTTCGATCCCCGGCCGGCGCACTCCTCTACCTCACTGAGCCAGAAATAATGCTGGTAAAGAGGAAAGGTTAGGCATGAGGCAGGCTAGCAACCTCATCCTGTAAAATAAACACCACTGCTACAGAAACTTCAAGCCACTAGCTTGGAGCCCTATGTTCCACTGGGAACGTGAAGGAAAAATTATTATTATTTTAATGGTTGCTGATGACATAGATGTATTCGGTCTTTTTACTTATTCTCTCGGATCCATCGAAAATTCTCATTGACTGGACACAAGTCAGTAACTAGTGTGACGTATCCAGTCCTTTCTTTGATGCAGATTGAATTCTATCAGTCAGTCAAGTTTGCAATGCGGCCACCATTCTAGGTAGCTCACCATCGCGATGCACATTGGTTTGATGATATTACATAGATGGAGGCAATCGACCACAGGAAGCTCTACTTGACCTGGGTTTCGTACTAGTTATCACTCACCAGTCGGTCAGCAAGGCGTATCTGTAACTACTTTGAAGGGACAACTCATGTCCCTTCAGAGATTCAAACCCGCGTCACCCAGTGGAGTTGCAGTCAGAGACGTTACCACCACTGCGATATTTAGGCTCAATCAATTCCTGGAATCCTGGTACTCAAATGGATTATCCATTAACAAACACATCACTATAAACTAAATTCATCAGCTAATAAAAAGTAAATTACATGACAAGAAAGTGTGAATTCCAAGTCAATAGAAATGATCAATAGAGATATAGATTAATAACCAGTCACGACAATTCTACAGGAGGTGAATCGTGAGTCGGAATAGCTGAGTGGCGGTAACGTCTCTGACTGCCGCACATAGTGAAACGAGTTGGAACCTCAAAAAGGGCATGAGTTGTTCCTTCAAGGTAGTTGGAGATACGCCTTGTTGACTGGTGAGTGCCAATTAGCACAAAACCTAGGTCAGGTAGAGCTTCCTGTGGTCGATTGCCTCCATCTATCTAATATCATCAAACCAATGTGCATCGCGATGGTGAGCTACCTAGAACGGTGATCACATTGCAAACCTGACTGATATAATTCAGTCTGCATCAAAGATAGGCCTACACACATTACACTAGTTACTGACTTCTGTCCAATCATTGAGAATTTTTAATGGATCCGAGAGAGAGCAAAAGCAAAGACTGAATGCATCGATGTCATCAACAACCATCTTGAGGCATGTAACCAGAAGTCGGAAGCCAATGGATCATGGCATTTGGTGAACAGCGATAGAAGACTTCATAATTCCATACTGTGTCTCGATTTAACAACCTCTAAGTCTTTTTCAGCCTAGTCCTATGTTGCCTAACCTCAATATTATTCACCATATTGTACCACTTTTACACGCGAGATGAAGTAGGGACGCCTATGATTTGACAGATAACTTCTTCAGGTCTTCCATCTTCAATGGCCACATCTAACAGTTAATTGAAAAATGAAGGAGGAATTAGCTGTGTAATATATACATCGTCTGACTGACAGCTGGATACTACATACACCCCAGAGATAACGTAATTTGGCGAAGGCAAGACAAGGATTTTATATCTTTGCTCTGAAGGACGCGCAAGGTGGTGATAGGGGTGTAGATTTGCTTCCTGGAGAAAGACTTTGTGGCTGCGAGTATGGAAACGATATCATCTTGTTCTACTATAAGATGTAGGCTACCGCAATTAAAATTATGGTATGTAAAGTTTTGTTATGAGATCGACAGTAGCCTGCACTTGCACTTAACTCGCGTATGAACCGCTTGGACTTGTTGTTAACTTCATGTATCTAGGTTGTTGTGTGAGCGCTGACGGAGTTGTGATGCATGAGATCCTCAACTATATAATGAAATCCGGGGTGGCATATACCAACCCAGGCCAGCCTGACACTGACTGGTGACAGTCATGTTTAGAGTACTTTGGTGTGTCCAGTTTTCCCACATGCCTGTGATACCTGGCTTCTCAGAGCTAAGGATGTGAAGTGACTATATATGTTAAATCACTGCTGCTTCTGTAGGATTGATTGCCTTCAGAGAAGGCTAAGACTGCCTTGAACTATTGGCTACTGGGGCATATTCGATTGAATAAGCCAGCACTTGGATGATGACAAGTCATACTGTCATTTACAAAGTAAACAAAAATCTACCAAAGGCAGTCAGTGTGTTTCCGAATTCTTTGTACTACGGAAGCTCTCGCCATATGCATCGAAACGCCGGAGCTACGTGTTCAAAATAAACTTGTCCAGCCTTTACAACTACCATAGACCCACCCAGTTCGGTATGTTCTCTTATCCTTCAGTTTTTTTTTGTTGTTTTTTTATCTGTGTGTATAATTTTCTCTCTTTGCCTTCATTCAATTCATCCCATTTCCGTTTTCAGTTATAAAATCAGCTGTTTATTAGTTTGTTTCCATGCTCCTCCTGATCACACTTGTAATCCGTTTAAAATAACCATTTTGTTTCTATGCCTCTTGTAATCTGTCTATATTCACACCTCCCAACTTACATTTCAAGTTCAAAATTTTTGATTTCAATTTGTTTCCATGCTCATTTTGTGCACACCTGTAATTCGTTCTATACCTGCGTAACTTTCGTCTCTAAGCCTCGTGTAATTCATATCAAGTTGAAAATAATTATCACCTCTCATTCGCCTTTAAAACTATTTCTCCAGTTATCAAATATTAATTTTGCATTCGTTGTAACTGTTTTCTAATCCTATACTATCTTGTCTCTAAGCCCCTTGTAATCTATATATCCGTACCTTCAAACTTTCATATCAAGTTGAAAATTATTATCACTTTCGTTACTACGTGGAATTAAACAAATAATAATAATTGTATCCATGTAAACTAATCCATATAAATGTAATTGTACAGCTGCTTTTGAGAAGGAAATCGCCGAAAAGATCGCAATCTTTGCTGAAATTCTTGTTCTTTTCATACTGTAATTAACAGTCACAATTGTCCAGAAAACAGTGTGCATCGGTGGCACAGCGGTTAGGACGCTCGCCAACCATGCACGCGGTCCAGGGTTCGATCCTCGGCCACACAGATGCACTCCTTTACCTCGCTAAACCAGAAATATTGCTAGTAAAGAGGAAAGGTTAGGCATGAGGCAGGCTAGCAACCTCATCCTGTAAAATAAACACCACTGCTACAGAAACTTCAAGCCACTAGCTTGAAGCTCTAAATTCCACTGGGAAACGTGAAGGAAAGAAAAAAATTGTCCAAAAGTAAAATGATCAGCTATCAATCAGTCAATCGATATTTCACTCACTTCTTCATATATGTTCAATCCACAGTGTTTATCATGTCTACGGTCATCTCGATGCAGTTTTGGATTAAAGTCGTCCTCTTTTGAAAAGACTAAATCATAAACACATGTCTTTCCATGTGACTGAAAAAAAAAGAAAGTAATTCGCTTATTCTTTGAGAATTGTAGTCAATGAAATTAAGTAGTTAAGCTCAGCAAAGTTTGTTACATATTATTATTGTTTTTGATTTACAGCTTGATTCCACAACGTATTTTTGGTACAAGTGTGGAATTTTCAGCGTGGATATCGGTAGCCCAAAATTCGCAGGCCGACCATAGATATCAGGTGTGCGCCGGCGTGGGCTTGAACCCCGGAACATGTGCATGGTAGGCAAGGATCCTAACCACTGTGCCACCGACGCACAGTGATACAAAGACAAGACAGGGAGGAGAAAACAGCAACACAGGTGTCATCAGGTGTGTTTGGCGTTTTTCAATGTCTCTTTACTGTAAATTCGAAATTAACACAGAGAGTGTTAACGAGTTAATCATAAGCAAATTATTATTATTATTATTCCCTTAGGTTCCGAGTGGAACATAGAGCTTCAACAGCACATCTCCACCTCCTTCTATTATCTGCCATCCTCTACACAGCTGGGTCCACGACTGTCCATAATCTCTCATCTCCTCCTCCATGCCATCCTCACATTGACGACCCACACATCGCTTCCCATTCGGATTCCACTGTGAGTCATAACCTCCATTGCGCTCAATGTCATTCGACGGTTTCCTCAACGAATGTCCAGTCAATCCATCTCCATTTTCACTTACATATTTGTTGAGAGATTAGCTGCCAGGTTGATGAAGGTGTATCTTGTCTTTCTGATTCTACCTGGCTGGTTTGACATTCATTCATCCGTTCCACTGTGGCCTGGTTGTTGAAACGATGCTTCCTGGTGAGGTCAGTGAAGGAAGTAACCTCTGTCAAATCTCTTCCGTTAATGGTGATTTTAGTGCTGGTTGTAGCTGTTGGTTAGTTATTTTGTTATCACTTATGTCCCCACCTTCTCTATGTTAACCTGAACTCCTGTCTTCGCTGCCTATCAGCCTCTTCAGTCAGTTTTTTTTGGTTTTCGCGTGCCTGCAAGTCTTTGAGTTTGTATGACAATAGACATAAATCATCCACGCACGAAATTCTGATCTTCTGTAGTCTTTTTATTGGTCAGTTCAACAGATTCCTGTCTTCTCTTCATCTCTGTGCACAGTCCAGTCCTAAGCGAATTGCGCATTTAGTTAATATCTATGTAATGCATAAACCAGATTCATGTTTAAAATTCAGGAATTAATTGTGTTATTTTATTTTTGATTTGTTTATCCAATCAATTCATTTCTAAGTTTTCAGCTGATCTGAAATTGTTAACAAATTTAAAGTTGCAAATGAGCTGCTTGTTTAACTTACATAAATCTGTTTATTTTTTTATTTTTTATTTACAGCTTGATTCCACACTGTATTTTCGGTGCAAGTATGGAATTTTCAGCATGGATATCGGTAGCCCAAATTTCGCAGGCCGACCATAGATATCAGATGTGCGTCGGTGCGGGCTCGAACTCCGGACCATGTGCATGGTCGTCGAGAGTCCTAACCACTGTGCCACCGACGCACAATGATAGCTAGTTGACGGGTAGATCTATGACTCATTGAAGTAGGGTCACGAGGTGGAACTTTACTTCACCTACCAGGTTTTAGGAGCAGCCTTCACAGAGTAATTGTAGCCCATCGGTAGTTGCAGAAGATGTAAGTAATCACTGAATGGTTGGATTGGATAAATAGATCAAAACAAACTTTAATGGGGGGAGATCGGGGTATATGGGTATTCACTCAACCAGTTAAAGAGGACTGCAGTGAACACAACAGAATAGAAATATGCTATTGAAGGCTTTTATTCCACCAGGAGCACAAGGGCTAACAGTCCTTGATGGAATTAATCCAATCCTTTATTTTAAGACAATTTACTTTCAAGAATTAGCTCGTAGGGATTCTGTTTGTTTCAGGCTACACTACAGATTGGTAACAGTTAAGAGAACCATTGAAAATCATTACTAGAGTACTGGGTAGCCAGCTATTTTGTCCTAGTTTGGGACTCTGCTTCGACAGTATGCACCCACTGGGTTTCGAACCCAAGATCTTCCGGTTACAAGCTAAGCTCGTATGCCATTTAGCCACTAGGTACATGCTGTCGACGAGTCTCAAACCAGGACGAAACAGCTTCCCAGTGAGATACTTCTTGTTTTCAATGGTTCTCTCAGTGGTATCAATCCATGGTCTAACCTGAAACAAACAGAATCCCTACAAACTAATTCTTGAAAATTAATCCGATGCTGGCTAGTGACTGACTGGCCACAGGACGGAGTTGCCCGGAGTGAGTTCTAGCGAGAAGTCGTGACCACTGGCGTGTCTATCCAGTTGAAAGTGAGGATGACATTGGTTGATGGTTGCGCTGAAATCACGAATTGATAAAAGCTAAAATGCTTGGATTGGTCACTGAATCGGATTCCAGTGGTTGACTGGTTCGAAACCCAATGGATGCGTACTGTAGAAGAGGAGTCCCGAAGTGGGACGAAACAGCTGTCAAGTACTTCATGGTCTTCACTGTTTCTCTAAATGATATCAATCTGTGGTCTGACCTAAAATTTATGCAACTGAGTCGAATTTTTTGTTTGTATGAACTCATATGAAAGAAATAGGTAATTTTTATGACAGTGAATAAGGTTGACATCTTACTTGCTTTATGAATCCAGCTTCTATACGTAATTTCTTATGGCAGATATAGGTTGAGAAGTTTTTTGTTATCTTAACTCCAATTCTCACAAAAGTTATTAGTAATATAAGTATGGAAAAAATATTTTCTTTCAACAACTTGGTTTTCAAACCCCTATATGGTCGTATTTATATTACGCAATAAATGGCAATAAGTGGTCCTAAAAATGACTAGTAGTCGGTGCACACATAATTATTAGACTAAAGATGTTTAATGTTATGTTTAAGGGGGTAAACTTGAAGTGGATGGATTACAAAATTTTAAAAGATTATTGATTAAGTGAATCCGTGTGTGTTGTCAAAAAAATTAGAAGTGCGATGATGTTAACAACAATAAAAAAGGCAAACATGAAGTGAAGTGGATTGAATTCATCAACATTACTGTGACCAAGGTAAACAAAATAGGTTTGACAAGACTTTTTTGAACAGATAGTTTATATTCTTGTCTGTTGATACCTGGAACTTCAGGTGTACACAGTTGGAGGATAAATTCACCTTTAGATTGCCTGCATTCGAACCTATAGATAACTTTAAAGGATAAATCTTGTCTCTGCCTGAATAACATCACTCAAGAAAGTGTTTACTAATGGATGACTTAGACATCCTACGCTCGTCTTTCATCAACCAAACCGCTTAGTGTTCAGCTGCACCTTTCTGCATCACTTTTTACTTTCTTTCCTTGCTTTGTGTGCTACATGGTGTGTGGTGGCTTGAACTGCTGAACATCGAAGCAAAGTTGTATATTGAAACCGGTCAGTCCGTCAGCACATTTCTGGAGAAAACACTTACAACATATAATATAATCAGCTCCACCGACGCATATAGACGATCAGATGCAGAGAGAGGTGGAGATAGACAGTAGTTTATCTTTCAGGCATTAGAACAAAACATATAAGCGAATAATATTGCTTTCAATTAGATCTCCGTTACACCTTACTCTAATTTATATAGATTTATATATAAAATAACTAATCAATGACGGTGATTTTGTGGATCAAATAATAATAATAGCAATAATAACGTGGTAACGTTAACAATAACGATGATTATAATGATAACAAAATATTGATAATAAGGTTTATGCACCTCGCGATAAGAATAACGAATATAGTAATATGCACATATGTAGACAACCCAATAAATAAATTAGGTTAAACCCTGAAAGTTACCTAATACTAAGGGTGAAGTCGACAGATAACCGGAGTTTATATGAATATCATTAAAATATAGAGGAAATAGAAAATAAGGATGAGAGGGTTTTGATTAGAATTTACCTAGGCCAATGGAGAGACAAAAGTAGAACAAACTTCTCTTCTATGCAAATACTAGGATTGTTCTCTCGAATTCCCATAGCTTCGTGTTTGTGTAAAAGGTGGGTTAGAATTCCTTTTGAAAGGTTCCAAGGAATTCGATAGATAACTGTCAAGGTATTTCTGCTGTCCACTTGGTGACCGCTATAAATCAAATGAGTCAAAACAGAACGCTTTATGGATCCTATTTGGCCTTCACGCATTGTTGAATCATACTTCAGCTAGAAATGTATGTTTAAGTCTGGGGCATATCAAGAGCATGGAATGCACTAGGATAGACGGCTTGTAATAACTACAGAAGTATTGTCACTTTTTAATGTCAAACTCATTAACAGTATCTTCTTTGGCACTATGTTCTGATTAGGCACAGTTCCGTTCTTCAGGGTCACTAAAATTCATTTTTACATAAAATGCATACATCAGTACAAACGAAGGCGTTGAAAAGTATTTTTTCACTGAGCAACACTTGTGTTTTCCCCTGTGAACAAATGAGTATATCTTCTAATTACTCTAGGTTTTATTGCATTGCCGAATATAATGTTTTGTCTTCCACATTGTCGCGCTTCTCCTCTTCTAACACAGATAGTATATCTCTAGAGAAATTTCTCGATCATACAACTAAACTGGTAGGCCTTCGACATTTCTTCTATAAGTACAATTTTCCATGATTGCATAAAGATATATCGTTACTAATCACAGTTTTAAAGTTGGCTCAAAAAATAAATACCAACGCAAGTGACGAGTTGTTTTTTCTAAGGAAAACATACAATTAGTATTAATGCAGCCGCAACTAAGGCTTTTCAAATGCTATGGGTACTTCGAAGGGCTCTCAAACGGCTAGATGTGAGTATGTTCCAAGTACTCAGTGCAACATATGTCATATTTCATCTAGAATAATGCATCCAAGCAGTGAGTACATGCTTCAAAAAGGAGGCACATATCCTGGAAGGAGTAAAGAAGGTAGAAATAAAATTAGTCAGGGGTATCTCAAACCTTCTTTATGACAAGAGGATGGAACATATAGATCTCTTCCCATCATCATACCGAAGGAGGAGAGGAGACTTCATTTCGGCATACTTTACATTAAAGGGTGATATAGAGATTGACCTTTCATATCTTTTCTCTCCCTCTAGGATAAATTTACGAGGTCACCACAAGAAAGCTCTCAAACCGAGGTCGAATAAAATACGCGTGGAATTTAGATTCTCTCACAGAGTGGTCAACGGCTGGAACTCTCTACAAGATTCAGTAGTAACAGCCCCATCTGTGAACGCCTTCTAAGAGAAACTAGATCTCTGCAGAGATACATATATCCCCAGGATTAACATAGGCAACAAAAGCCTTCTATCCTTATAATCTTAATCTGGGACCTAACCATACAAACAGAATAGATGTGAAACACATGACAATCAAACACATAACTCCACACTTTAAAATGTAAATTTTAAAATTGCCAACAGACCTTTTGATAGCTACTTGTGGATAAAAGAACAACATTCATTTGAAGGGTAATCACAAACTTGCTTTTTTAATATAAAAGACATCAGATACCAGAGTTTTGAGCGAATGTATAGCATTCTTCCAAACGGTTACTTGCAAATTTAATAAATCTGACTGCGAATTATTTTACATTTACAACTAATTACTTTAATGGATTATAATATTCACTTCATATCACATATACAGACTAACTATGAGGATTCTTGTGTATTCTATGAGCCTAACATTACTGTACAAGTTTGTGAGTGTATAGGTTTTATTCTAGTCTGTGTTTCTCAAAAATTAAAGCTACCAGTGCCTTTTGATGTATTTTAGTATTTCATGGTGACTTAAAATCAATGAAACTCTTTTTAGTGGAATACACCGAATTTTAGTCTCCAGAGAAATACTTCATTGTATTTTGATAGTGCGCAAATTCAATCCAACACCCATAAGAAGTGATTCTGGAAAACTTTAGGCATATATCCTTAATATGTTTTTCAAAATTTACCCAATTACAATCATTTCGCATCATTTTTAAAAAAAATTCTTAGTCCACCTTATTACTTTTCTTACCATTTGTTCAAAATTTCACCATTTTTACTCAGGATTATAACATTCATCCTACACGATGACAATATTGTGTCTCTAAACAATTTCAATGTTTTTCGACAAGACCGTATTTGTTCCAAGAAAAAGTGTGGTGGAGGTGTTGCAACTTTTATTCACTCAAAATGGTCCATTTCAAACAAAGTTTGTTTCAAATTCTCGAATGACTTCATTGATTGCATCACTGTGAGATGTCGCCCGAAACACATTTCAAAATACAAATTCATTTATATTTCTAATGTTTATGTCTCTCCTGGCTGTACCATATTGGATTTATCTATGTTCGCCGATGAATTCACCGCTTTTGCTGCAGCTTGCTTCGAGAACTCTTTATCAATAGTAACAGGTGATTTTAATTCATGCGATCACTCCTTCCTTATATCACTTGGTCATGACAATATTGTCAACTTTGCCACCCGTCTTGGTAAAAAATTGGACCTGGTATTTATCAATGATGTTGGTATATATGAAGCTCGCAAACGTGCTCCTCTACTTAATTCTGACCACTGCATCATACGTGTGCTGCCTAAAATATATTCCAAATCACACAAAGGTGTCCTCTCTCACCTCTGCAGTAAAGTTCAACGGAGATGCTACTCAAAAGACAACCTAGACAAGCTCAGATGCATGTTGAAAGACACTAACTGGGACTTATTTACAGAACAAACATTAGATGAAACAATCACAAACACTACTGATTATCTTAAATTCTGTTTCGAAATATGTTGTCCTAAAGAAACATTATTCATCCGATTTGATCGCTTATCTTCGCCATATCTCAAAAAGCTACGTAGAAATAAAGAACTGTTGTTCAAAACTAATGATAAGCCTGGTGTAAAAAAGTTAAACATGCTGATAAAACTGGAAATAAAAAGACTAAGTGTTTTATATAATCAAAGATTTTTGTCATGTAAAACCCCTTCTAATTTATGGAAACTTTTCAAAGAAATTACTAACGGTAAGCGATGTATTTCTGTTCCATCTCTTAATGTTGACACTCTTAATAAATCTTTCATACGCTCTTCTGTTGATACCCTTCCAAATGATACAAATCATATTGACAATAACTTTAGTGGTTTTAATACCCTTGATGTGCTTAAATGTCTCCGGTCTCTTAAGCCTTCTCAAAGCCTTGGTCCTGACGGCATACCTGCCATTGTCCTCAGGAATTGTGCTGATATTTTGTGTTATCCTCTTACTAACATTTTTAATGCCTCTTTTTCCGGTAACGTTCTACCTTTTGCATGGAAAAACATTAAAATTATCCCTATACCAAAACCATCTTCTGGTTCTGATATTAAATTTCGGCCTATTGCAATTACTTCCCCCTTTTTAAAATTGATGGAAAAATTACTTTTACTTCGTCTTGAACCCGCTTTGAAACCTTTTAATGATCCTAAACAATTTGCATACAAACATGGTAGAAGTACCTTGGATGCTGCGGTTGTCTTGTATCACAATGTTGTCTCTTGTTTAGACAAAGGTGCTAAATATGTTCGTAGTGCTTTCTTAGACTACACATCTGCTTTTGACTCTGTACCTAGGGGCCTTTTATTAAATAAGCTATCATTGACACAAACAGGATCCTGGGCTAAGAGTTGGTTGCATTCCTATTTTTCTGATAGAATGCAGTATACTGTATATAATGGCAAATCTTCTTCTACCTCGCTTACAAAATCCGGTGTTCCACAAGGTGCTGTCCTCTCTCCTTTTCTATTTTCTTTCTTCCTACATGACCTGCCTCATTCAAACGAAACTAACTTTGTCAAATATGCAGATGATCTGACTGTATCACTGCCTATCACTTCCGAGTCTGACAGCTCCAAACTTAATAGCTTTCTGTTGGACATCAACAACTGGTCCAAGTCAAATGGTCTTATATTAAATCCTTCCAAATGTCAGGTGCTTGACTTTACTTTCAAGCATCGACGTGACTTACTTGAACTAGTTAACTCTCATGATCCCTGTAGCATAGATGGCACGGAAATTGAAACCAAATCAAGTATTAAATACCTTGGACTAGTTTTTTCCTCTGACCTTTCATGGTCATCCCATATCTTATCTATCTCTAAGAAAATGTTTCGTCTTACCTTCTACATTAAAAAGTTAAGACAATCAGGTATCAACCAACCTTTAGTTTTGCAATTTTTAAACTCCTGTATTTTACCTATTGTACTCTACTGTTCTCCATTAATCTTTCCTGGGCTGCTCAAAAAAGATTATATCATATTACGAAGAGTATTAAATGCTGTGAGTAGGGCTTGTGGTCTGCCACTGCATGAGCTCGCTAATACTATAGTCGAGAGGCATATAAATTCCTGTACGAAATGGGCAAAGGCTATAATGTCAGACCCTCTGCACCCCCTTTATTCACACCTGTCCCCTTGTATCTCATCAGGTAGGACGAGAAGTCAATATAAAAAGATATATGCTCGTACTACTAAGTATAGAAATTCTACAATACCCTATTTAGCGCGTACTTTATGTGACGAAGACTCTGTTAGACGTGAAACACATAAGTTACTATGTAATTAGCACAGTGAATCGACCCTTTTATCGCTCATCTTTCTGTATTTTATGGTGTTACACTTTCTATCGTTTAAATCGTTACTCTGCTATTTTATATTAGTTGGTATTACTATTATTACTACAATTTTGTACTTTATGCATATTTTTCTCCGTATGGCACATAGTATTTTGCTACGTAGCTGCTACAACAATCGTTTTATTACTATTATGTATTGTGTATTTTTAATTTTTTTTTGTCGTTTTTGGGTAAATTAGATGCAATATTGTACTGAATGCTGAAAATTCCTTGCTGTATCATGAGTACTGTTTTTGGAATAAAGCAATTATTATTATTATTATTATTCTGAAGTAATTTAGCTGATTCTCGAAGTCGCGGGAGAAGTTACGGAATAACTGTGGAAATTTAAGGAAAATGTCAATATTCAAGCGCTCTAATTTTGAGGAACTCAACTTATCCTGTCAGAAATTGTCACAAATACCGAAAATAGCCCTAAATTCTTGGAATCAGGATCTAGTAAACAAAGAGGTTTATTCAATGTCTTGAGGAAACTTAAGATATATACATTTATAAACTTGTTCATTGAAGTGAACATCACACGTAATGTTGATCACTATATGATCGACACAAGCCATTTTAAAGAATTAGTTGGCATTGTGTAGGTATACTAACCATAAAATACGACAACAGTAACACCAAAGGATTTACCTTTTCTGGAGAATTGAAGTAGGTTCTTTCCCTTGGTAGATTTCGAGATTTAGGAACATGGGAAAATGCGGACAAAGAACATGGATGTCCTTCTAAATGAAATGTTTCTCCATGACTTACAACATCAATGGTAAGAAAGTTATTATCGGTCGTCATGATTTCAAAAGAAATTGTTTATTATACAAATTTAAACAAAATACATACACAAATTTATTTGATGCATACAAGTAGTGTTTTTGTAATACATACGCTAGCTAATGAATTGTATATTATATTTATTGACATTGTATGACAAATCGTCAGTCCTGTTAAAGTTCTTTTGAGTTTACTATTTACAGACCTATGTCTGTAGACACGGGTTAAATAAGGTGAAGCACAAATTTAGTTTTTGTAGCAGAATACTATAACCTCCATTTCCTTCTTTAAATTTTACCATCATGTTGAATTTGACTGCCTGGCAGGTCAGTGAACAGTTCGTCAGAACGACTGGAGGAAATTGACGAAAATGCAGGGGATTCAATTCCATGTTAGACAACAAAAGCCTGAAGCCAATTTAACAAAAGGCTTTAAGGGTCAAAAATGAAGTCAATGCAGAATCCATACCTTGTGATTCTCTAAGCTGCATAGTTCTCAGGAAAACGTAGGCATTACTGACACTCATTTGTTTGTGCGTGGCCTAGAATTTTTTGCAACAGTAAGCAAAGAGTTACCTCTCAAATGGATGCACCGGGCGCTTTCCATGAAATGCAAAAGAAGTCAAAATGCAGAAGATTAAACATGCTGATTGTCCCCTCTAGTCACCGTTAAAGCATCATATAACGGAAAACATTTTTTATAAGTTTCACACAGATTCGAAAGTATTAAAATAAAATTTAGGCCCATCTGGCTCCCGGATGACAGAATTAATAGGAAAGGGGTATTAATTATCAAAAGCTCTGCTGTAAAATGTGAGAATACTTTCAGGACATTCGGTTTGTGGGTGGTGAGGCACACGTAACCAATAATACATTAAAATTGTGTGAAGATAGATAAAATCATTGGCTGTAAACGTTGTGGGATGGCCATGTTCACTTGTGATGACACTGGGTTGCATGGACGGCTACAGATGCATGCGCAATTGGAACACGTGAAACCGTCAGCTGAAAATAAGTACAAAACCTACCATCTCCCTACCTAATAAGTTAATGACTCTTATTAGGCGTCGGTGGCACAACGTTAAGACTCTCGCCTACCACAACATGGTCCGAGGTTCGATGTCCTCTAGACGCATACCTAATATTAATGATCGGCCTGCAGAATTTGGACTGCAGATATCACATGCTGAAAATTTCATACCTGTACGAAAATATGGTGTGGAGTCAAGCTATGATAAAAAACGCATCAGCTATACACCAGAAACCTACGCCTGACAAACAGTGGCTAGCCCTCTCCACTTGTTCGTCAGCAGCACATAACTAATGGCTATCATGACTGCTATAAGAGTGAGCAGTCGTAATAATGGATGCACAGGTATCAGGGTGGTGTTACCTAAGGTATGCGACGTCTACAACTAAATCAGTATTCGCACTTAAAGAGCGCTTTACAAGTGACGCTGGATGACTTCCGCCCTTCACAAGCGGCGATTTCCTAGTCATTCGTTTGTAGGCCGTGGCTTATTCTTGCACTCATTGCCATACGAACATTCGCAGATGCATCGGTACCCAGGTATCTATCAGCTTACGCCAACTGATCTGCCAATACAGTCTCCAAGAGATTCAGGAATGCATTAGATTGTGCCTAATCTTATTTAATGCTATTGTTTATTCAATGGAATGCTTATAATAGACTACTGTATGTGCACATCCAGATAAATAGGTTACTTAGGAGAAGGAAAAGCTTATTTAATCAGGTGTTTAAGTTGAGGTGTTGAATAACCCAGAGCTTATGCAGGACTGTCATTGTGAGTCGTCTGAAATTATATGAAAGATATTCATTCAGGGTTGTCTACGCTTTCAGGTTTAGTTCACGAAAACGAGACGGGACCAGGACAAATAGTGTCATACCTAACCTTAGCAGTAGTATGGTTAGGCCGGATGGATTGCAGACAGAAAACCCAAGTGAAACTCTGAAATCGAATTCGGAAATGTATTGGCTTATGGAAATATCCCACAGACATCTGGCGCTTGTAACACCGACATTCCAAAAACTATTTCTGTTCTGGCACTATGCGAATTGGTTTCTAGACTCCTCACTGACATACGGCATTGTCAGTCATAAAGGCAGCCTCATCTGACATCAATGATACAAAATTGCTGAAAATGTTCTAAGCATATACAACCCAGGCTAGATTGCTTTTGGACTCTAACAGTACATTTTTGCGCCCTGTTTTCAATTATGGCACTGGAGAAAGAAGGTTTGCTTGTCATCTGTTTAGATTGATGTGTATTTTCATCACGGTACTGGATAAAGAGCCACGATGAAGGACAAAACTTGCCGGAGGATGAGCGACAGTTTTTTGTATGTCGGTGACAGTTTAGCTGTCTGCTGTAAAACAAATTTGGTTGTAATCACAGAAAACTAGATACATGAAGGACTTTAAGCTTCTGTTTTATGTGGTTTGTGTGTAAAACAATTATCCGAGAAACCCTTAAGTATGGGAAGAGATGCTATCCTACGTGACATTTTCACGAGCACTTCTCTCCCCCTCGTGCCTAAGAGTTATCTCCGTAAGGTCTTCAATACGTTGCACGGCTTATCCCACCCAGGTATTCGAACTAGTCGGTTTTGTTGTCCTGGTAATCATAAAGAAGTAAGGGAATGAGCAGTAGCGTCCTTAGCTTGCCGAAAATGCAAGGTAGTAAGACACACCCATAGCCTTCTTGGCACCTTACTTATCCCTGATGGTCGTTTCGAACACCCATACCAGAATCTCGTGGATATTCATACCTGCATCGACAGTTTCACACGATGGCTTGAAGCAGTACCCCTCAAAGATGTATCTGCTGAAACAGTTGCACGCGTCTTTGTCGAGCGATGGATTGCAAACTTTGGGTGCCAATCCTCCGTAACGTCTGATCGCGGGCGGCAATTCGAAAGCAGCTTGTTCTTTCCCCTGACTAAAGTCATAGGTTGTATGCGTTTTAGAACAGCAGCCTACCATCCTCAAGCTAATGGTATGACAGAACGTCTACACAGACAGTTGAAAGCTGAGTTTTCAGCCGCAAACAATGCACATTGAACTGAATCACTACCGTTAGTTCTCTTTGGCATTTGAAACGCCTTGAAAGCTAGTGGTGGTTGTACTGCCGTCGAGCTAGTATATGGCACGACACGACTGCCAGGTGAGTTTGTTTCTCCCTCTAGCTTCCTATCAGCGGTTTATTAAGCCTCATACGTCAGTAGACTTATAAACGCAATGCTTTCAGTGAAACCTGCTCCCCTTTGATCACAGCCCATATACGTCTTTGTTCACTAGTGTTTGAGAACTACTTATATATATATTTCTTCCTGTTTATGCAGGAACATACCAATTGTACAGGCATGGATAAGTTATTATATAAATTACACATAATTTAATGTATAATGGATTTACAGTTTGGTTGTTCTTTCTGACATCAAAGCCAGTCAGAACAGTCTGCAATAAAGTCCGTTTGTGTAGCACATAAAGAGATATAGAAATATTGTCTTCGCATTAACAAAAAACCCAGATATCAGATGAATGTAATACAAATATCTGGGAAAAATGAAGCTTGAAGTAAATTCTCTTATATAACTTTCTTGTGAACAACACATTTGGCATAAAGTTTACTGAGGTATCAGGTTGAGATCAGTGACATATTTATTCCATTTTTCAGCAGTCTCATCGTAGTTTTATAATAATAACTTTTATTTTCATATAAACATAAATTTACATGAAAATGCATGCCATTTTTACAGGCACGATCAAGTATGTTATAATGTCAAATCTTAAATTGTCTACAAGTTAATAATGTTTCAGCAGTTAAATATTTGATACATATATATAATTACACTCATTGTCTGAACCAGGCCGTATAGTTATTGAATTGTACAGTTGTCCTCCAGGTTGAGCGGAAAAACTGACTTTGTTTCGTTTTCATCCTGTGGTTGTAGGCATACGATAACCAACCAATATTGAGGTAAGTGCAACGTTTACAAGGGATTGAAAGCTGTTTTAGAAAAGTTAAAGTGCTAAGGTGAAACATTAAAGTGTAATAGATTGAGTGAAATATATCATTAATAAACACATTTATATAGAAAACAGAATGGGGAAGTAAATAATCCTTAGGCCGACAACGTTCATTTGCAATGTATAATAAAACCAATATATTTTGTACTATCATGATGTCCACTTTTGGCTTTAATACAATTATTTTCAAGCCAGTTGTCTTTATTTCATGCTTTTTTGTCTATTTGGTGCACAACCGACCCTACAGAGAATAGGAATAGAATAAGTCGAATCAAATTCATAAAGAGCTATAAAATGTTAGGTTTAACTGAATATAATGAGGATCAAGTAAAGACGTTATTAGAAAATGAATAAGATAAGACATTGTGAAGTGGCATTTAAAGATCCGACAATGGACAGCAAGTTAATTTATAAGATGCCCCATAAATCTGTGCAGATCCCACGTGGTCGCATCTCAACAATAGGCTGGGCGAATGGTATATATTTAAAGGCAGAAGCATGATCTGTCAAGGCGTTCATTAATATCTTTTTCAAGATAAAGATCTAAGCCCTCATAAAAATTAGAAATATCTCGAGCCTTCAAATTACGTATTGCTGTTCCTGCAGAATGGGGCGATTCACCTTAGTGACCACCACCTTATCTAGAGGCAAGAAATTTGATCGTGGATACGAAAACTAGATGAGGTCATGTTCCGTTGCTTTACTGCATCAAATGGTGCCGAGGTCGATTCCAGAGTTCTCCATTTGCTCCATTTGTGTCTGCATGGCGGACTGTATTCGTAAGTTCAGTAAAATGTTGAAAACTGTTTGAAAACCAGTTGCTTCTTCATTTCAGATCATGAATACTCATTTACAGCATGTTCGCCAGCGTCTTCAAATGGTAGAATTGGATCGTTCATGGAATTTGAGTGGTTATGAGATAGACGGTTTGGAATTAATCCTCATTTCAGTTTAGATGCAGGGTTGTTCG